GGGGGGGGGGCATGTTGTTTGTCAACAGCACGGCTTGGCTCACTTTATCACCCCGACTCTATTTTGTTGCTCTGCCCCTCTGTGCTAATCTCATTCCAGTCTCTGTCCTCTCCAGGATCAATGCCTCGTGCTTACCACAGGCAGACGAAGAGGCCAACAGTGAAGTCCGGAATGCTCGAGTAATGCAATTGGATTGTTTCCCCAATTTCCCCTAATTTGCAGATGTGTACATGTAGACCTACAGGTGTATCTGTGCGTATGGACAGTAAACGTTGGTAGATAGAGAAGGATGGGATTTTCAGTGGAGTCTCACCACTAGAGGCTACTGTTGATCTCTGTATGAAACGCAGAAGCGGCACCAAAAAACAGTCTACTGTAGATATAGCCTGGTATATACTACCTATGACTTATAGTTTATGTAGTTATATATTTTACTATACTCCATGGACCGATACCCTGTATCTTAATGAGTCACATTTTTAATTGTGGCTATTTTTCCTATTGGAAAATGATACATCTTGATTAGAATGTGCATCACTTCCCCATTTCAACCATCGGAAGAGGCTGAGCAGGAAACTGCCTTACATGCATCATGTGATATGTGGTGTTGGTTTCTTGTGGTTCTTTCTTGTTTATGGGTTGTGATCAGGTCAGTCAAAGTGTGACATTTGTCTTTTCTTTATTTTAATAATATCATAGGTAAAAATACCCAGTCATTTGCAAGAAAACAAAGAGTCAACATATAGATAAATATAGAGGAAAATGTTGTTTATCTCTCCCACAATCATGTCACAACCCTTCAGCTTTATCTTGTAGCTCCATGATGGAGCGGGGTTCTGACCTCTCAATCTATAAGTATGGATCACTGTCAATTCTAAATTGATCAGCTACATGCACTATTTGACCTGCGAGGATCACGAGCTGCTGGAATCGTTCCAAGCATGCTGTAAATGTATTGCTTGCCAGTCCATCATTGGACGGGCAGTTTGGAGTCTCCAGTCCACCTGAATGCTGCTTTGTCTTTAAAGAGGGGAGTTTCTAGGATTTCAGGACATATGGGTCTTAGCCCGGACCTCTGTAGGGGGGTGAGGGGGGATCCTACCCCAGGAATTTTTTTTTTCTTTTTTTTTTATGAACTCTATTTTTGAGGCTTTTTTTGCACTCTGGCATCTTATTTACATTCAAAATACGTGTCTTCATCATTGACAAGAATAAAGTGTGTACCACAGAAAAAAACTGTTTTTTACCTTCCAGATTAATAAATAATTGTGTTGACGATATTTGCATAGTTGTTAGTAATTTGTATTATATTGAGTAGAATCAGAATACTTCTATTGACGATTAATGTATTTATGGTAACAGTTGTGGAATGTAACTTCGAACATTTGCACTTGAGCTTTTTCCATTTTATGCTACTTTATACATCTACTCCACTACATCTCATGATATAGTGGAGTAGATGTATAAAGTATATAAAGTAATATAATGAGCCCCACCTTTACCAGCGGCAACGATGAAGTGATGAACAAATCAACGCATCAGTAATAATACAATCATATAATATACATTATTCTGCATGAGTGCTTTTACTTTTGGTTCTTCGAGTATTTTTTTATGATAATACTTTTGTACTTTTACTCTTAACAGAGTATTTTACTCTCTCTCTTCTCTCTCTCTCCATCATCAGCTGGTGTCTCTCTCTCTTCTCTCTCTCCATCATCTGCTGCTGTCTCTCCCTCTCTCTTCTCTCTCTCCATCATCTGCTGCTGTCTCTCTCTCTCTCTCCTCTCTCCATCATCTGCTGCTGTCTATCTGTATATCTGTCGGTCTGTCTGTGTATTTCTCTCTCTCCAATGTGACTTTAAGGAAGTGCTTTCACACCAGGCACAAGCCTACTTCATATCTTGTAAATCAGACTACATAGACTCACTTCTTAGCCTATCCTTTCTTCTCTTTTGTAAAAATACAAAAAGATTGTTTTTTTTTTTCCAACTGGACCTGTAGCTCTGCCATTTCTCCTGTAACGTTTCTCTTCCCACTGTGACTCACTCAGCGCTGACCGTCAGAACCAAGGCAACAAACAAGAACTGTATTTACTTTAACAGTCTGCTACGTTCTGAAGACTATCACACATTCATTACATCTGTTTCTTTGCTGGCTTACATTTACATTTAAATGATATATTATTATTGTTATATTATATGACCCGATGTCTCTGAAAATGTGAGAAATCTAGAGCAGCCTACAGGGACAAAAGGGAAACATGCAAACCCCACACAAAGAAGACAGGGACTCAAACCTAGTCCTCTCTGGCTGTGATGCAACAGTGCTAACCACTGAGTCACTACGCTTCCTCAGCCAGTAAAACAAATGAAATGTGACAGAGCATCTCAGCGATGGTTGATTAACCCCAAAAGTGGTTTGAAGACACACACTCAGACCAAACAATAACAAAATCTGGCTGATGACTGGTGTTCATTTCCCACACCACTTCATAGCCTGAAGCATCCTTGTATTGTAAAGATGCCATCTGTTTGAATGAAGTGACCTCTCAGCCATACAATGAAACCCAGCTGGCACACACATCAGACACAATGGGATTCTGCAAACTCTTTACTTTGACAACCACATTAATATTTCACAGTGGTTCCATGGAATACCAATTAGTCCAGCGGACGTCACACGGCTTTAGATTATTTTATTAGTAGTACTACGGCGTCAGAGCTCTCACTGAACTGTTACGCTTGGTGTCAGATTGACTGATGTAGCCTGTGATAGGCCTATGTGCTGCTGTTGCTGCTGCTGCATTACATCAAAAGCATGTCCAATGCACTCCAGTCCAGTGAGAGCATACACACACACACACACACACACACACACACACACACACACAGATCCACAGTGGTCACCCTCCGAGCAGTCAGCCTACCACGGCTGTTCTGCTGCTGTAAAAGATCTTTTTTTTCTTCTGTTCTACAGGCATTCCTATCCATCCCTCTGTCCACCCCCTCCTTCCCTCTCTCCTCTTGGGGCTGTAAAGAAGCTGGGGCTGTGTAGACCCTTGAGAGGCCCTCCTCCCTCCCCCCCTCCCCCCCCCCCCCCCCTCCCTCCTTCTCACTCTTCCCCACCACTGCACACTCAGACTCTGCTGCTGCTCTTTATGTTGCTGAAAGGCACCAGGGAGATGCTCAGATGATCCATTGGGCCATCCTGAACCACATCGTCCATACAGCCCGAGACAGGGAAGACTAACTACTGCAAGTGTGAGAGACCCCTCGGAGGGTGCTGCGAGTACCCTGTGAGGCCCGCCCTCCCGCCAAGCTTGGCAGAAAGCTTGGCTTGCCCCTTCACTCCTCCGGCCCCTGAGATGCCCTCTCCTCCCAATGAAGGAGGTCAGTAAGAGAGGTCCAACTCTCTCGGGACTGCCAGGGTTATTCTGTTGTATACCTGACCACCTGCTCATATATGTACCTGCCATCATCAGTACTATTCTCCCCTGCATAGAGCCACACAAGCACACACATACACAAAAACACACACAGATCATGATGCATGCAGCTATAGAAAACTAGACGCCTAATTCATTTACTCCCTAGCCCCATAAACAAACCCCACTAAATCCCCTGCCGATGTGAGACAAATATATTACAATACTCCAGCAACTCCTGCTCCCCTCCCAGTCTGGAGCACAAGCTGTGACCGTATCTAGGCTTCTTTTAATGCCGTCTTTTCCTCCAGAGGATCAAGGAGCGTCCCCTGTGAACGGGCCATCTGTGGGCTCCTTCCAGAGCAGTGGGAAGAGGAAGGGGCGCACCAAAAAGAAGAAAGGCGCTATCACCGCCAATGTCACTGGCACCAAATATGAGATTGGTACGGTATTCTATTTCTAATGATATTAAAACACTCACAAATTACAGCAACCACAACCACAAAAAAAAGATATACAAATGTTGGATCAAAACAGGTTTGAAAAAGGAGCTAAAGCAGGCTTGTACACTTCAGAAATGTCAGTCTACAAAGATAAGATATCTTTTGATCACAGAGTTCGTCTTAATGGAGAACTAGTGCAGGATGAAAGAGGCTTTCTTTGAGATGGGTGATGAAACCCTTTCATCGATGTACATTATCCTAGTGTTGATGTTTTTTGTAGGAAAACAAGTGAGTTGCCTGAAATGGTTTAGCAGCAGTGTTCGTGGTTGTAGCTTCAGTTGTAGTATTAGTATAACTTTTTTTCAGGTTACTGCTTACATATAAACATTGGCTGCACTGTTAACATTGATGAACACACACTAAATGATAACTGTCCTGAAAACATTTTGTCCAATTTAGCTACATTGTGTATACTAAGCCTGTACTACAAAGTGTCAGATTTCAAGCATTTTAATTGATATATTGATTTTCTTCATGACAATTTCATGAGTGAGCAAGACCAACATTTCGGGGTGGTCCTGCAGGTAAGATTAATGTACTGTGACACAGTGAATTGTATATTAATTTTGGAATTGGCTCTCCGTATGGCTCAGTCAGTCCCTCAAAATCACAGCAAATCTAATCACAATAAAATAATACACTGTAGATTGTCCTCCCGACAATAAAATCTAATTTTGCTGTGGTGGATTGTTTGGTTGTTATTTAATGTCTTGAATTAAACTTAATAGAGTTGCAGTCCAGCAACAGTTCACACAGAGACAGCTCGGCTTTACATGCATACATAAATCTTTATTGAGGTAATTTAACTTGGCAGTGAGGTCTTTTTGAGAAGGGCAAACAGAAGCATAGTAAGCACTCCTTACATGGCTAGTATTTGCCAGTGTGGCAGCACAGCTCTCAGGGGTGAGCTACAACCTATGAAATGAAGGAGTCAGCAGCAGAAAGTAGAAGTTGGGGGCTGCCCGGATCCTGTAGGTAGATGGGAGGCTAGCTGTGATTCAGTTTGCTTGCTGTGACGAGACCCTCGCGGTGGCCATTCTGAGAGTAGTGCAGGGCTATTTTGAAGGAAAATTAACACTAAGGGCCAGATGGATGGCTCATTTTTGCTGTTACCTTTTTTTTCCCCGCTGTCTTTTCTTGTTTCAGAATTGATAGTAGTACAGGTAAAGGCTAAAGGTCAGGGAATATGGTGTGGGGAAATTTGCTTTACACCCACTGAGAAGGGAATGTCCACTCCGGCACTAAGGAGGTCTGTTGCGCGAGATGTGTAAGAAAGGATTGATTATAGCTTTGTACTCAAAGACCCTACTGGTATCTGTAAGTATAGGCCTGCTGTGATGTAAACCCCCCGTATTCCAGTTAGCAAAACACTGTTAGCCTCTACCGACATTAACAGATGGATGAAGTTGCATCGGAAACACCTTTTTTCCCATTCAAGCACCATCATGCAACATTAGGCAAGCCTTCTCCAGGTTTGTGAAGGCTTTCAAGATATTAATTAATACCACGTTTCGTTAGGGCATATGAATTTTTCATTACCCACTGAATAATGAATAGTTGTTGGATTAATGTCCAAATGGGCATGCCACCTATCTCTCATATATGGGGTTTCCAGTGGGATTTGAATGCATTACAGACAATTAATTTATCTTTTTGAAGAGAGGCATTACGATTGGCTGCTCTGCAACCATTCCACGAATGGTAAATATTGCTGCAAGCTTTTTGATCTATAATCTCCCGGACTCATTTCTCTCTTAATGTATGCAAAAACAGAAATTAAGCCTAGCAGAAAGTGAAACATTGATCTGTAAAGTGGAAATATTTGATTTGTGGGTCCAAGTTACATCTTATCTCTTATTTAGCATCTATAACTGTAAGTTACTTTGTTATCATGAATACAAAGTTTATTTAAATGACTGCAGAGCTATTTCTATTCATGGAGTACAATCTAATGTGATTGTTTTTCCCCAGTTCGTATAGTCATCAACGAGGTGGACTTCATCAAGACCCGGGAAGATGACGAGACTGCCAACCTCATCTGGAATGATTCCGCCGTGCAGCATGAGAAAATCGCTGAGCTCAGGAATTATCAGGTACACAGCATGGCTACCATGTCAAGTCAGCACACATTGTTCAGCGGCACCGTAGCTTCGAGGTTAGAGGAGAGAATAACGGTGACAGATCCAATAGCTGCACTGAACAGGGAGAAAAAAACCTTTATAGTAGCTCCAATACAGCTGCTCCGTGGCCAGCAGCAAAGGCCATGATACTGATCAGCTCCCAGTGGACGTATCTACCTTTGGAAAGTGAAAAGTCTCGAGCAGCAGTTCAGAAAAAGAACACGAGTGTTCAGTTTATTTTAAAGGTAACCCAAATGTTAAAAACAAAACAACCCAGCTCTGATGTGTATATCACTGGTGAGGTGAGGAGGGATTTTCCCCAAGGGAAGAGAGAAAAAGGAGCAAGAGATGCCTTAGAAATGAAACCAAAGAAAAGAAAGGCATACAAAGGATGAAACCAACATGACAGCTACTGCAACCCTCCCATGCTTAGAGAATTTTATCTTAATGATTTTCCTATAAAGAAAACTAAATCCCTTCCTTAGGAAACTCCTTTGGTTGGAGTTGGATACACATGACACAGTTTCCTTTAGATTCTTCAAAGTTATTACAGCACAAAGTATTCATAGATAAGTTTCTACACGCTTGTATGATAGACCAGTTTGATGCAAGGCCTACTCCCACATGTGATGACACATTACAGGACGTGTCACGTATACTGCTGGCAGTGAGCAAATGCAAAGAGGTTTGACAAGAATTAAGAAAATAAATTCTCTTTGTCATCGACTGTTGTTTATGTGAAAAGTTTAAAAGTAATAATTATCACTGAAGCCTATTTATTTGGCAAGTCATATAACTTCAAATAACCGACCTTCTGAAGTTTCAGTTCAAGTACGAATGATCAAAACAACACAATGTAGAGTTTTTGAAGTTACCTCTGCCGTAAAAAAAAAGGTTTGCACACCACATGGCCATATAATTCCTACTTGTCTCCAGTAGAAATAAAATAAAAGCTAAAGGAAAATATATAGAGGTTACAGATGGAAATGGGATGGTGTATTGAGACATTTGGGACGGAGTAATAGTAAATGTCGGAATAAAATAAAATAGAATAGAAAGAAATGAAAAAGTGAAGATGGATGAAAGACTCCCATCTGCTTTTCCTCAGACCCTGGGAGGTAAGAGGGAGACAGCAAATAGGAAAGAGGGAGAGGGAACAACAGAGCGCACACAGAGACAGATAAGGAGATTGACAAGTAGACTGACAGGTTAAGAGCAGCAGGGGGTAGGGGCAGGTTTCAGATGTCTCTAGTGATGTTGACAAGACGGGCCTAAACAACAAGGGCTGCCCTGAGTTCTATGTACTAGTCTGAAAATGATCTTACCTCTGTTTGACCTGCCTGTCCTGCTGACTGAACTTGCTGCTGCTGCTGCTCCCCCTCAGCTCCGAGCGTTAGCCATCCATCTTCCCGAGTGCTTATTTGATTAGACCGGGCACTAATGATCGATTAAATCACATGCTAGGAAGAGTATGGCTTGTTAGGACAGGGGCAGCAAGAGTTCAGCTTAAGTAGATTGAATATTACAAATACTGTAACGGCTTAACGTGTAGCAATGTGGCTAATGTTTTCACATAGAACTGGTGATTTGCTGTCAATTGTTTTCACTTGCTCGCTCGCGCCGCTGTGGTATTTCACGAGACAATTTCTCTGTAGAATAGTAGAAGTCCCTCAACAATTGGTTTTGATTTCCCCTCACAAGCCACGTCGTCTCGCGGCATTGGCATAATTGTGCAATCTCTTCCGAATCCCTAATTACGTCCGTCTCGTTTGGATAATAATCACGGGATCCTTTTACACTGTGCTTTCTCTCGTTCTCCCTCTATTAATTCTTTCCTTTTTCCCCCGTTTAGTGATGTACTGTGAGAGTTTGCTGTCAAGTTTCAGTTCATATGAGCCTAATTAACGCCCCTGTTCAGGCTCATTTGGTCAAAGAATACAGAAAACCCAGAGTTTTTCCTTTCCCTCCCGCCCCCCCTTTCGGGGCATTCAAAGCAATTCATTCAACTGTCACTGCAGGAGCTTGCGATGCAGAACCAATTACCTCGGCCCCTCGCAGTTGAGATTGATCTTTTTTTTTTCTCTCGCCTCTTCCCTCCCCAGCCTTTAAAGTAAAAAAAAAAAGAAAAGGAAAACATGGTAAACTAAATAAGGGTTGAGAAAGGTCTCAGCGTCACCTTTTTGTTTTGGGTCCGTAATTGGGCATAAATGTCAGAACATTGTAAGCTCACTTCAGGTTGCTGCCTTTAATGTGCTCGTTTTTATGAAGGGGTGGGGGTGGAATTGAGTGGCGTAATGGCCCTAACAACATTATTATGTCTGCCTGTCCCTCTGCAGAGAATTAACCATTTCCCTGGCATGGGCGAAATCTGCCGGAAAGACTGCCTAGCAAGAAACATGTCCAAGTAAGTTTTCAAATGAGATTACTTTGGTACAGTTTGCAAATGTGAAAAAACAAGAGCATTTCAAAGCTCCGTGTTTAGCCACCTGGCACTTGAAAAAGTCACACCTGGGTACTTGTAGCACTTCACCATTACAAGCCAAATAACTAGAAGATACTGCTTTAAAAGCACAAAATTCATCTTTACTTTTAGAAAAAATGTAACTTGTAATTTTGAAAAGTACAAATACAAAATGTTGCTGTACTCCAAAACACTTTTTCTCTTTGTTTCTCCAGAATGATCAAGAGCCAGCCTCATGAGTACAGCTTCATACCCAAAACTTGGATCTTCCCTGCCGAGTACACTCAGTTCCAGAACTATGTCAAGGAGTTACGCAGGAAACGCAAGCAGAAGACCTTTATCGTCAAACCCGCCAACGGAGCCATGGGTCACGGGTAGGTCAGAGGCTAGCAAGTGCCCCCGAGCAATCAAACAAACTGGCTGTAAGACTGGCGGAGGCACGAAAGAGAGGGGAGAGAGTGACTGAAGCAGAGGATAGAAACTAAGCAAGATAGTGAGTGTCTGCGCGAGTGAGTAGAGGAGGAAATATAGAGCAAATAGATGACAAGCACAACAAAACAAGGCAATAAGAGGTTTGTGACCCTGACATGAGTGTCGATGGAAAAAGGTATTACGGCTGGGACAAGATTGAGTATTTGAGCTGAGAGGTTGTGGTGAATCTCATTGTTGGCCTCTTTGTCCTCGATGGTCACACTCACCATAAATCAGAGGTTATCGGTGCCAGTGTAGGACACACACACACACACACACACACACACACACACACACACACACACGGTTCCTGGCAGTTACTGTAGTTCCTTCCCTGAAGGTCTCTGCATGTGATTATTTGGATTCCTTTATGAGGCACCATCAGCAGAGAACAATCAGACTACAAAATGGACCAAGGTGGGTGCTGCAGGGGACTCTGTCTCACCATAACATCTCTTTATCAAATGATGAGCAGGCGCTGGTACCTGAATGCATATTTCCTACAGTGCCTATCTCAGGTTGTGAAGTTTTCACTATCCTGAAGTATTAAGAGAATCAGTATAGAATCCTGGTGACATGGCCTCTTTACTCTGACATTAACCAGTTTATTAGGTACACCTATACCCTCTAAAGCAATCAACACACCTAACGTGTGTAAATAGGGGTGGACAAAACAATACAAAGCAAAGTTTACCAAAGGGTTGAATTGACCGCTCTCTGACACAGTGTCAACAAAACTAAGACTGGGTGAGAGTGGGGGTGGTGTTGATTTTAAACTTGCTTGTGAAGGAGTTCCAGGTGCCACTGACTAGGAGGAGATCAGTTGATTAAAATCCAGAAGGTCCCTGGAGAAAGGGACATTTGGGCTTCTCTGTTCAATCTACCAAACACTGACCAGGATAAGTGATTTAAAAAAAATAGATGGATGTAACAGAAATGTTCTACAACACAAGTATCCAAAATTGTCTCTAAAATAAACCCAGTAACTGACTCTAATGTTCTATGTATGAGTCATAGCTAACAACACGGAATTCTGCTAAGCTACTGTGTGCAGGTCAAGCATACATGTACAGGACTAACATAAAGTGTAAATGCTAAGTGCTTTCAAGTTCAAAGTTTCCAGTGTGGTTGGTTTAAAAAAATAAAATATGAACTAAAAGACAGGCCCAACTGTGGATATTATAATTTGGCTACAATACAGGCTCCTCTGAACAAAATTAGTTTTTGTTTTGCACATATAGCTCTCTTGAACACTTCCGAATACGTTGAAACTGTTCAGATTGCGAAAAACAATTAATAGGCATTCTTTTTGACTTGCTATTCTTTGATATTGTGATCCCTAAAGTGCATGTGTGAAGAAATACTTTGGAGTGCATTCATGACTGGCACCAATAGGTGGGGATATTGAAGTACAAATAGCTCAGTGTGCCTCACCTCTCCCTCTAATTCTCTTTGAATTTGTCCGTTCTGGTATAATGTGAGCATTACTTAGAACTCCATGCTGCACTAAGCCCTTATTTATTAAAGAATAAAAGGCAGCAAAGGCTGAATTATAGCAATACATTAAGAATATGAAAGATGTTGAGTTTAGCTCGACCACTCAACGGCGGGCGGTTCACAAGATTAGATTTTTTTTTCTCAATTCTTTTTTTGCATGGTGTGACGCGGCAGGAAATTAAGTTATATCTACTCCCTGTAATTTATTTTTCCGTCGGCCAACAAAATTAAGTTATTGTTTGTGTCGGAGGCGCAGCTTGTTATAAGGGAAACAAAATAAAAACGCGTGCAGGGCTTAAAAAGGCGAGATCCCCTCCGGTGCCAAATTAAATAGGCAGGGGAGAGGGGGCCGTGATTATCTGACACCCCAGCTCATCAATCATGTCGTCTTCTCCTCAGCTACTCCTCCTTGACTAGCCAGCACTGTTAACCCTGTCTTCATCATTCAGCTCGCTGTTTGAAAGGCCCTTTCACAGAGTCGGTCAGCCTACAATCAACTTGTCCCTGTTCTTTTCTACTCAATCACTGTTATAAGCAGACCAATGACACGGCAGTATTTTAGTTGGCAGGAGCAAGTGGTGATGAGGAGTGGTTGATAAACCTGAAAGTAACAACAACGTCACACTGAGGCAGATCTAAGCTGGGAAACCTCTGAAGACAGGACTGCTGACCTAAGACCATAACCTGAGAGGAAGTACCTGATCTCAGTCCAGACTCGCACTAAGAAGCTCATCACCAATGCTGCAGTTTTTCGCTTCATTAGAGTTAACCAAGCAGTATTCTTTTAGACATAGACTGCACTGTTCCCAGCATACTGTATGTTCTATGTGATTACAGAGCAGAATAACATTTGCCCTTAATACCTCAAACTGTACTTTTTTTTTTTTAACAATCAAGGCTTTACATCTTGGCCATATATTGTGTTTGTATGTGGTGTGCCTGCTTGCATGTGTATAATGGAGCCTTCCAGGCTGTGCATGTAACCAATTTAGGCCAAGTCTGCCTTAACTAAGAGTGATGGTGATATAGGTCAGTCGCGATGCCGGTACATAGTGGGAGATTGTTTAGAAACGACCCCTCACCCTGCCTGCACACACCCACACACATACGGACACACTTTCACTCAGTTTAAAAAATATTGCCCCTCAACCTCGCGTGCACGGCCACATGGATGCACGTAAACCAACACAACTCATTCTGGAGTCCAGCTCGTAAAGGCCTGCATACCTTAAGGCCTGAGTGCCAGTGACATGAGACCAAAGCAAATGAATTAGAGGTTGAGGTTGAAACGGAGCACAATGTCTGCTCCTATTAACCTGCACACAGCTGAAAGAGCCTGCTACAGCATGTGATGCTCTGTGCCATTCAGACAGTTTGGCTTCAGAAAATCACAATGTTCTCCAGATGCTTGCATCTCAAGACAAACCAGCATTGTATTGTACCTGTCTGTGTTTTTTTTTGTACATTTATTTTTCAAGAGCTTTATTTAGATGGCCAAGTAATGAAGAGAGTAGCAAAAGCTTTGGAACGTTTAAATGTCCCTCAGAGCCAAACAGCTTGTCCTGCTCAAACTGGACCTAAGTCATGCTGAGCACACTCATTTACAAATGTTTTCAGTGAAGGTTCTGTAGAAGTGAAAGGTCATATCATAAATACCACCAGGGCACCATGGCTAAACGTCTTCAGTGTAAATGTAATGCTCAGTAAGGACATAGCTTCTCCTTCATTTATTGCTTTTAGGAATGTGAAGATTAAAAGTCTCCACCATAAAAGGCAGATGTGGCACCCCAGTAATATGTCCTTAACTTTCCCCGATGATTTAAAATGAAATATAGTGTTAAAACCTATAAAATCTGTATACTGTTTGGCTTCATTTTTTTGCTTCAACGCGTATGTATGACGGTGCCAATATCATCAGTCATGTTCATGGTCCCTGCTATGCTGCCATCTATCATTTTTTTAATTATCTTTTTTGTCTTTACTGTGCCATATTTTATTATGCTGCTGACGACCCCCCAATTCCCCCCCCCCCCCGAGGATTAATAAAGTTTCTGTCTATCCAGGATCTCGCTTATCCGAAACTGCGAGAAGCTGCCAGCCCAGGAGCACTTTATCGTTCAGGAGTACCTGGACAAGCCCTTCCTGATGGAGGGCTACAAGTTTGACCTGCGCATCTACATCCTTGTCACGTCCTGCGACCCACTTCGCATTTTTCTCTACAATGACGGCCTGGTTCGCATGGGCACAGAGAAGTACCATGCACCCAGTGAGGCCAACCTGGTGAGTCACTAACAATAATACTGATAATAAAGATGATGACATTTATTTGTGTAGGATTTTTCCCATAGACTGAGAAAAAACGTGCATCTTTATCTGTGTACCATCTGTGCACAAGGCCAGTTTGATGAGTTGTAGACATACACCCTTCATGGATTTCTATTGGAAAGTAGATACAGAACCTTGTGTGTGGCCAATCGGGCGAGTCAGAAATGCGCTACAGACGGATAGTAGAAGTAGATTCACAATGCACTCCCATGAAGCGGAGCCATGGGCTTGTGGAAGTCACCATAATCAAATTAGACACACAAACACACAGCAGGACAGAGGTTGGGAAACAGTGTTATCGCTGTATGATCACGAAACATACATGTACTCATATACACAGTCAACAGTGCCCAAATGCAGACAACTGTAAGGCTGTACACACACACACACACACACACACACAAAATGGGCAGGCATACTGTATGCACACGGAGTGTAAATGTCCACATGCCAGATGTCTCCTGTAATATCAAGCCGCTCATATTTGCCTTGAGGTTCTGCACCTGCTGAAGCACAGTCTGTTGCTGATGATGAGATGTACACACATGCACACACACACGCACGCACGCACACACGCACACACACACACACACACACACACACACACACACACACACACACACACACACACACAGCTTCCTATCAAGTGTGATGCTTATCTACAATGTGAACACACGCTCACATAGACATGCTGGACCCCTCCTGTGACACAAATGTGTATTGTCTTACCCGGTCTGTGACACATGATGTAGTGAGTCGTGCCACGGAGATGGATGTTCAATCCCACAGAGAGTGGCTCCCAGACAGCCATCATGGGCTGGAGTGGCCTCCGGTCACAGCGTTATTACCTTTGAGGCTAAGGACAAGGATGTATTGTCTTCAACTGTGAGGGATGGTGTTTAAAGAGACGGATACCACAAGGGTTACACAATCGCTAGTTATAATCAACCGTTCGTTTTAGCCTTGCTCTGTTGGAACTATGGGGCACTATGGCTTCAGTGCTTGAGATTTTGGTGATCTATGATTGTAAGCATGCTCTGCTGTTGCACTCATTATCTGTCTCTCCCATAAGGGCAGAAGGAACCATTTTTAGAATAGAGCATTGGTAATTCCCATATAGCACAGCGAGCTGTTCTTTATTTTTCCGACTGCACCATTTCTTACCATCTTTAGTTGTTGCCAAGGGACACGTTTGTGATGTTTTTGTTTTTTCCTTTATTCATGTCCTTATTACTTATGAGGAAAAGTTTTACATTACATTGTGGGTATGTGCACTGTGGGGATAAAAGCGTGAACACCCTTGAGGATGTTGTTTGCTGAGACGATTATCATCACTGACAACGATATAATTACACTAAAGAGCACTTGCACAGGCACCACAGCTATTTAAGTACAATATACAGTTTATACTCCATGTATTAAAATAACATTTCATTGTATCTACTATTGCACTTGCTTCAGTGGAGTAATTTGTAGCCATTAGTATTAGATAGTAGTTGAACTGGACAACTCTCAGCTATGAATGCATCTAACTTTGAGCAGGAAGCAGGTGAACACGAGCCTAACTTCTGTAAATGAAGGAATTCAGGGGAAATAAGAGAATAGTTTTTTTATGCGACAATGAACAAAACATGCCATCTGGTGCAAATACAATCTGCTGTTGCTCTGACATTTGATTTTGTATGTCAGAGCTTATGTAAAGACCACAGACCTTTGATTAAGCAATCTACCACATCTGGTCAAATTGTAGATATCCTATATTTTTTAATTCAATATTTTCTTTCATCATATTGATGATGGTAGTATGTCCATTCAGCCTCTAAAATCGTGCCTATTTTTCCTCAAATCTGTGTTCTTATGTAAGAGCTATCGCATGAAGTTATTGCACAGCTATCGAATGAAATGAAGCTAGAAATCGTTAGCTAGAGACAGGTGTGAACACGCACGTGTTGACGTACAACCCTCCTAACTCACCTTCGTCTCCACAGAGCCAGCTCTACATGCATCTGACCAACTACTCGGTCAACAAACACAATGAGAACTTCGAGCGAGACGAGACCGTGGACAAAGGCAGCAAGAGGTCCATCAGTTGGTTCACCGAGTTCCTCCGCGCCAACGACTACGACGTGGCCAAGTTCTGGGGAGACGTCTCTGTACGTGGGTAGTCCACCCAAACAGACACAAACACAAAAACACAGATACACACAGATACACCGTGGCGGATGTGTACTTCCACAAATGCAAGGATGTGCGGTATGATAACAAGACGCGCCACAAATGCAAACAACGCGTGCATGTGTTCCCAAGTGCAATCTGTGTAAGCGTACACTCATATATACACATGCTCTTTCTACTAACCAACACACGTCGCACAAAGAACACGAGCGGACCAGCAAAAGGTTTGATATGATTTGTTATGACAGTAATTCAGTGAGCTTCCGAGCTTTGTTTAGGAAGAGCTCGGTGAAAACATCATTCCAGGAGGATGAGCTTTTCTCTATCCGGCCCTACTCTCAGCTCAACCTTTACCTCGTACATTTTCTTTCATCAAAGTCTCTCTGGACGATTCTTTTACCTCCTATTCCTGATTCATTCACTTTTTTTTTTAAACTTTTACCCATCCATCCCATCATATGCTCCTTTGTCTTTCTGTTAGTACTCTTGTCGTTACATCTTTCTTTTCTACCCGTTTCTTTTTCCCCGGTTCCGTTCATGTCCTTTTCTATTTCATTCTTCTTGACCGTGACTTTTTGTCCCTCTGTCCGTATTCATTTGGGGTGCATGGTCCCTCAGTGATTGTTCTGTGTTCCACTGTCTGTTCTCATGCTACAAGCGTTCAACCTCAAAATCAAATCCCATTGGTTATTATACTTTCCTCAAGGCAATCTTTTATTTCTTCTTTCCATCAGCTTTTACTTTTCTTTATGTTCACGTTGAACAAAGTGGTTTTTAAAACTGTTGTAGGTCTTGTAGCCGGTGTTTTACCTCATGCTTTAAGTTCTTGTTTAGGTAATGTTTCCTTTCCTTCATTCTCCACTCCTATCCATCTTTCTTTAATCTCTCTATGTGATCCATTTTGTCTGGGCGTTAAAGTTCTTTTTTCTACTCTTCTTTCTCGCTTCTATTTCTTTTTTCTCACATCCTGCTTGTCTTGACACATCAGTGTCGCCCTCTGCCTCAGCTAGACCATCCTCCTCTTCTCTTGCTCTCTCAACATTTTTGTCTCTGCTCTTTCCTCAGAAGTTGCACCACTTTGGTGTTAGTGCTGTCCGTTTGCACTCACACACTGTTTTATTTCAACTCTGTATTCATGCTCTCCGCTCACTCTCCTCTCTCCTTCTCTTTTCATCTCTCCTCTTACATTTTGTTCCTGTACAGACCAAGCAGGCTGCCCTGACTCTTTCCGCCAACGGTCACAGTCAGAGAGTCAGAGAGTTTGTTTGCCAAAAGATTGTCTGTGGGGGTTAAGAATATAGTGTATGTGGTTTTCCCCCCCCCATGTTTCACTGATATCTCTTTCATATTGAGGTATTATTGATGTGCTGTATGGGGCACAGTGTCCAAGGTTTGACCAGCAAAGCCACAGCTTTTTTATGTGGGTGTAATTTTGAGACCAGCATCCGAATAGGAATGCTAATTATAGAGGCCACAGCTAGACCATCGTACCGTTCTCCTGCATCTAGCAGTGTTACAGAGAAAACTGCAGGCCAGCAGCACTGCGTGGGGCTTGACTGGTGAGGGGGAAGCGTAGTGTAGATGTTGTGTGTGTGTGTGTCAGAGTGACCATGTAGTAGACAATTAAATAGCTACACTGAGGATGTCTACTCTGATGGTACCATTAGAGTGCATTGATGCTCCTTCTCTGATCCGGTAGGTCTATGGTGGACATTCAGAAACATTAAAGGTTACACATATTTATGTCACTCAAATTCAAATGCATATTTCAACCTGTTTAAGCCATTTATTATTTTTTCTGTTTAGTTTGAAATGCTTTCCTTTGTAATAAAAATATATCATTTTACTTGAGGAAAAACTTTACTTCCTACTACTGCCTCTAGTTTAAATATCCTGCTGCAGAGGTGGGACCAAGTCATTGTTTTGCAATCTCAAGCTTTTGAACTCAAGACCTTCGTCAAGTCTTAAGTCAAGACAGGAAAGTCCTGAGTCAAGTCCCAAGTCCTAAACAAGTCATAATGCGCTCTTCACCAAATGTATTGCCAGTTGCGTTTTTGTCTGTAGTTTTCCACCCACACATTTTGCATGCTGCAGCTTTTTTTTTTTTGTTGAACACCGCATAGTTTATGTATGCAAACTAAATTATCTTTGGTATCATTTTCTCCAACTGCCGCTCGGTAACGTAACGTTAGGTCTTCATGGTTCTCTCATGCGTCTTGATTGGATGCTGTTGGATTGGTTCTAAGAAAGTGGAACTGGGGAATTAAGTGTCGACTTGCTGTTAATGAATAGAGTTACTGTTAGTAGATTCAGGAAATAATTGATGCGTTACAGTTTTTTTTTTTAAATAGCATACATTTTAATCTTTGGGCTCGGGGGAAGAATTTTCAAGACAAAAGATTCAAGTCCAAGGGAAGTCCCGATTAATTTATGTTAAAGGACAAGCCTAGTTGTGTGTCTTTTTTTTGGGGGGGGGGGGTGTAAAGTCATCAATTTTGTGACTCGAGTCCAGGTCATGTGACTTGAATCCACGACTCTACACACTGCTGGCTCCACTACACTGAGATCGAAAGAGAAGCCACGCTACTACAACAGAGACGATGAAAATGCCTCATACATGCACACACAAAATATTTTAAATAATAAACAAATGTATGCCGGTAAAACACAAAAATAAATCGATAAAATGGTTCAAAGAGGCTTATAAAACCATTTCAGCCCAAAGCTAACAAAACACAGGCACACATGCACAGTGCTCGGCAGTGGGCAGTGCTGGGGGCTCAGGATAAGGAGGGAGGTGATGGGGGTAGGGACAAAGACACACGTACACACCAGCCAGTACTGGGGACTTCGGGCATAAACGACACGAGTGGGAGCAGGTGTTTGTGCTGTGCAGCCTGTGGGTCAGACGGGTGGATGGACGGACAGATTGATGGAGGTGTGTGAGCGACAGACAGAAAAGGTATGGGGCTGCCGCCTTATCAGGCCAGGGCCAGACCACCATACCCCTCTCCTGCACCCAGCAGTCAGACTGGACTGGTCAAATGGCAGGCCAGCAGCACTGCGTGGGGCTTGACTGGTGAGGGTAAGCTTTGTGCAGAGTGTGAGAGTGTGTGTGTGTGTCAGAGTGAGCATGTTTACCCCAGCTGCACAGTGGGAGTAGGCTGGCAGGTAGCAGCCAGCAAACACATGTGTATACACACACATGAACACAGGTTGGGAGCCATTGGCCACTCAGATGGACCACCACCAACATTGGTGAAAGTCTGTGTGTGAGTAAAATCCAAAATATTCTGTGACAGTAATACTTTTTTGAGTATCTTTGAACAATTGAATGTTGTCCTACCTCTTTAAAAACCGTCTGTAGATTACAGGTGTAGTATGTGTCATGATTACTCAATTGTTAGAGTTTAGTCCTGAACCTAAAGGTTCAAGCATTTGTCTGCAGTCACAACCTGCAATTAAAGTCAGACCTCTACATAGCACCATTTTCAGTTAAAGAGGACATTTAATCAGCTGCTATAAAAAATGAGCTGCCTATAGCATTTAAGGATGTAGGCAAGTGACTAAAAAAAAAAAAAGTAAGATGTGCACTGTTTGTCAGCTCAGCTTGGTGATTCTCGATCTCTTTGTGTTTGTATCCTGCCAGGAGCTGGTGGTGAAGACCATAATAGTGGCTGAGCCCCACGTTTTGCATGCCTATCGCATGTGTCGCCCCGGCCAGCCACCAGGGAGCGACAGCGTCTGCTTTGAGGTCCTGGGCTTCGACATCATCCTGGACCGCAAGCTCAAACCCTGGCTACTGGAGGTACAACTCCGTATGTGTGTTTATGTGTTTATGAGGTGTGTGTGAAACGGCGTTAGTGTGTTTTAAATTTTTTCCGAGTAATTTCTACTCCCCATTGCTGACAAAAACGTTTTTTTTTTGCCATAATACGAAGAAGTGTATTTACTACATTTAAAGGGACAGTATCATTTGCTAATTTCAACGTTTTAATTTTACTGTGGTATATTTCGTCAATATTATGTATGTCAGTATATTTTTGAACTTCAGAACATAATGAATAATAATGAAAGCATTGTAAGGGATTTACCGTGATCGATAAAATATATTTTTAGGGTGTGTATGTGTGTGTTCGGCTGCCGTCTGTGCAGTCTCACCTGTCTGTGCTGCTACTAAAGTGACAGCGGCTCCTAAACTGAAGTAATGTGGCATCAGCGGGAGAGAGGGAGAAGTTGCCCCGCACTGACAGAAAGCATAAACACACACTGATTTTGCTTACACATTTTCATCCCTGGTGCACAAAAACACACACAAACATCTACACAGTCTCAAGTATGTATTTATGCACCTCCAAACACAACCAGAAGACACACTCCCATGTAAAATGAAAGGTTCACAACCACAAAAATGAACACACAATTACATGGATGTGTGCATTCATACACACACCCACGCATACAAATAGAGATGCAGGCATACACAGCTGCATATAAGACAAGACAAAGACCCCTTTTCCTCATACAAAGGCAAACATGCAGGGTAGGAAAATATAGGTCAGGACGGCAAGTTCACTAGCAAGACACCCACCCCTCATTCTCTCAGTGTCAGTCTCTCCAAGTGTCAGTCACTCAGGAGATGGATTTCAGTTTAGAGTCCACTCCAGGATTTCTGTCTCACCGTTCTGATGTCAGCCTGTCAGTTAAAGCTTGACCTAAATCCTTTAGCCCAAAGTGGCTGCGCGCCTTTTCCCCCTCCTCTCCCACAAATTGACTCAAGGATGGGAAATGCCTCTGGGATAATTGTTTGTTTTTTCCCCCATCATGACATAATTACCTGCCTCTTTTTGTGTGGTTGAGCAGTTGTACTATATGACAAAAGGATGTACAAGAAAGAGCATGATGATGGTGTTCCTTTTGACTGCTAGTGCACTGTGATATTATGTATGTGTGTGTGTGTGTGTGTGTGTGAGACATGGCAAACAGCCGTGAATGCAGTTGTTCCACTCCAGCACTAATGATCCCCTCTGTGCTACTAGCAGCTCTCTATAACTCTCATCAATTAACATCCCACGCACACATACACACACACACATACACACGCACACACATATATACAACCCTGCTTCTCTTTCACGCAACATTTACAGCAACAATCATTTATATCCAAAAAACAGCTGATTAGTCAGGGGATGCTTGCAAGCATAGAGACCCCTTCTTAAATCCTCACTACGGATGCTGTCAAGCCTGAAAATAACTTTATTACCTCTTTTGTAGTCGACGTTCATTCCTATTCTGCAGGGACACAGTGTGGCCCATAGGCTGGTTGCCACAAACGGTACCCTATGGCAAGCCCTCAGGTCCAAATTAAAATTTTCAGCAGATCTTTTTGCAGCATTTTGCGGCAACACAAATGCATTTCACTGCATTTCAACATTTTTTATTTTATTTATTTTTTTATTTCTGTCACCCCCTTGAATCAGAAAACTTTAAAAATGGAATTGGAACACAATCTAGGTCTTAACAGGTTTGTTTTGAATTTGTGGACTTCAGCTCTCAGGTTTCCCTACGGGTGTCACTGTGAATTATGTGTGCCATGCCTCGTTGGGCCTTTACCCAGACTGCTGTTCCGACAATGTCTTCCTCTCTTACTCTTTAAAACGTCAAAGTTGGTTGTTGGACATGCAAACTCGCAGCCAGGAAATGAAAGTTCAACCTGTGTAAACTCCAAGTCAGTCAGATACCTGAAAGCTAAATGGTATCATATATAAGAAACTGTCAAATGACATTAATCCTGCCCTTTTGTATTTGTATTTTTGTCTGCCATTTTGTGTGTGTGTGTGTGTGTGTAGGAAGCTGGGGAGGGAAAAGCAACATGATTACCCCTCACATCCTCCAATTACACCTCTAGAAAGTAGCCACTGTTTTTTTTCAAGACAAGGTATTCAAAATAGTGCAACTCCAAACCCCTGTGATTAGAAGCGAGTCGTCGCCTCTATTTTGGCTTTGCAAGAAAACCTCTGTGCAAGATACAATACAGCGACTCTTTGTAAGCAGACACGCACAAAGAGAAATCATTGCAAATATACTGATAACGAATAGGGACACTCAAGAGGAACAACCCACAGACCAGCGCACACCTGCTAAATAGCTTGTCACAGGGGGGGGAAACAGAGAAAGCAGGAGTGATGCTTCTCAAACCGATGCCAGGCATCAAACGGGCACATTGTGCTCAGAGCAAGTATAGAAGGTGGAGAAGAGCAGGTAAAAAGAGAGAGACGGGCCTTTGTGTGATTCTTATCTTAATTCAGCAGAGTTTTCAACACAAGTTTTACCTCCTATTGACATTCAAAACATCAGCACTACATAGGCGCGCGCGCACACACACACACACACACGCACACACACACACTTGCTCAAATGGCGTAACCCGAGACGTTCACTTTCATTAAACCAGCCCAGACAGCATCTGTGTCTCGTATGGGAAAGGCGTTTCATTGAGCCGCGATCTTCTCACACACACAAGCACACACACACAAGCACACACACACACACACACACACACAAGCACACGCACACACACAGTCAGCTTACACTATGGTTTGTATTGTCAATGCCAAGGCTTTTGCTTTAAGAGCTTCATTGAGTGTTTTCTTTGTCTTTTGACAGCAAAATAATAAATAATAGCAAAACAAAAATACAATGGAAAACATAATAAATGCAGAAATAAATACACATTTAGTTTAGCTCAGGAACTGCCTCATGATAAGCGTTGCTCATAAATTCTGCTTGTATGTGGTGGTGTCTTAAAATTGGGGTACATGGGTCAAAGAAAACAGCAGTCACCTGAAAATCCAGTGTGTCATAAGGAGTGCATTTTACTCAATGGAAAATATAGCAACGGGACAGCACTGTCACCCCTGCACCCCCTTCCTCTCTCAAGTTTATCCAAGGCTCATGTGCTGTAAGCCGGCGTGACAAATAATGTCAAATGGAGTGAGGAAAAGGGGAAAAAAAATACTTGAGGTTTGGTGGGTGATGGACGAGGACAAGAAGAATACATACACACACACAAAAATATATTTTTTGAAAAAAAAAAAAAAAATAGAAGCTTATGCTAGTCAACTCAAAATAAGAAGAAACAAATGTTTGTAGTGAGCACGTATAATTACAAACGTGCCTGGTCTGTGAAAAGCTGTCTATCTAGTGTCAGGTACCAGCAGCTCAATGGCTGGTCGGCCTGCTCGTTAGGGCCACAGTCTGTGTGTGTGCGTGTGTGCGCGCGTGCGCGTGTGTGTGTGTCGGTGTGTGTGGACATTCTGATCTAACTCCAGCCTACAGCACGTCTTTTTATCCAGTCAGAGAGGCATGGAGGAATCCCGCTTAAAACACCAAAACAGGCCAAATTAGTATGAAACGGATTGAAGAGACGAGGAAGAAACCTCGTGTGCCAACTTTCACGGCGTTTTTCGTTCGGTACTGAGATGCCATCGGACACAGGAGTTTAGGCTGCTTGATTATTGATGGCTGCAACCTATCTACCATCTCCTCCTCCATCCATTTTCTTCTCTCCCCTCCTGCCCCCCCTTTAGGACGGCTTGTGCGGAGTGATTGGCAGCTAATGAGGCGGGCATGGTTTGGTCAACCGTGGCACTGGTTTGTTTGCGTCTCAGTGTGTTTGTGTGCGCGTGTGTGTGTGTGTGAATGGGCATTACGACAACAGACTGCAGCTGGACTGCTCCCCTAAGGGCGGTGATTCTTCACCCCTCCTCTCCCTCCCTTCCTTCACCCCTTCCTGAAACTTTCCTCTCTTTCTGTGCTTTGCCCCCAATTGTTTCAAGATGAGTTTGGTTTTGCCTCTCCGTCCTTCAGAGCCAACATAATCCAGACTTCCTTTTCTTTTGAGTGCAAGTGTATATGTGTGTGTGTGTGCGTGTTTGTGTTGGGGTGTGTTTGTGGGGAGTAATCTGCGCTGGCAAGTGTAAACAGATGCCACGGTACACACATACACGTAGAAACAAACACATGGATATAACTCTTACACATCTCCAACACACTGCAAATGAATTACAACGACTGAAAATACCGTTAATTTCCTCTGTGGAATAAATAGTGCCTCACACTTACGAAAGCTTTCAATTAAAATTCTGCTTCATCCGTGCAGAATTAGATGAAGATTTTATGTTCTAAAAGCTTTCCATGAAAGTGTAAAAGAGTAGCCGTTCAAAGTGTTTTCCTCAGAGTTTTAGAAGAAGGATTTAGAGGTTAGCCTGCCTTTCAGATATTTCCTCAGGAAATTTGAGAAGTGTTTTCTAACCCCTACAACAGCCGAGTCGAACATTATTGTGTATTCAGGGTGATTAAGGAGGAATTTACTTGCTACCCATGCTCTCCAAATTTCATCCCCTCATGATTGAATTTTCTAGTGTGAAAAATGATAGAGGAGAATACATACAGTTTGATGTACTCAATTATCTTTCAGAGTTTCTCTTGCACCCTTCCACCTTTCATTCTCCTTTTGCCTTTGATTAATCTTTTGCACTTAGTGGGCTTCATTCTTATTTAAATGTAGCTCTGAGGGGGCGTCTTTCTCCCTGCGATCCCTAGGTGGCAGTAGTTACCTACGAGCCACTCCTTGGCTTATACGAGGTTTATTAAAGAATAATTAGAATGATGTATGGGACTGTCTGTCTCTATCCACATCCATTTTCCCCCAACATGACTATTTCATGGAATAAGTATCAAATTAGGAGCGCACGGGCCTCGTATGTGGGGCAGTTGAAAAACACACCCCAACATTTAGTCATTTATCATCAGGCATGTACGGCAGCAGCAGTGACTGTGTGTGTGTGTGTGTGTGTGTGTTTGTGTGCATGCATGTGTTTGAGGGGGAAGTTATATATTGCATGTTTATGAGTGACATATGGAACTGTAGTGTGTGCGTGTGTGTGTGGTTGAGTGTATTAGAGACTATAAAGGGAGATATATACTCTTGCATATTTATGACTGACTGTCTGGAACCTGAGGTGTGTTTTGTTGTGATATTCTCGTATGTTTGTAAGTAGGTGTGCGTGTGCGGCTGCATAACTATGTCCACTTTTACCTTTCTGTGCTCCTTCAAAGCACCCTTTTCCTTTTTCGTGGCTGTGTCAGATTGTATCTCTGTGTGTCTTCAAAGAAAGAAAAAAAAAAAAAAAAAGCAACAAGAAAAGCAACACTCCCTGCACCCTGCCAGCCAGTCAGTCAGGCAGGTCAGGCCGACTGGTGGCTGAGCTAAGCGTTGGACCCGCTCACTCCCAGGACCTTTACCAGCAGCTCAGCATGCTCAGCTAGAGTTTCCCTGTGTTCGGCTGGACCAATAAAAACGCCACAAAAAGAACAAAACAGTGATTGATAAGACGGCTGAAACAAGAGAGTGACTTAACATGGCGGCCAGCTGTCTGTCTTTCTGTCGCTCTGCTACTCATGCTCTCCCTCCCTTGCCTCGCTCTCTCATTCCACCATTGTGCGGCAACAAACACTCCATTCTGACAGCGGTTGAACTGTGCCGATACCCTCGAGTGTGCGGGGCAGAATGGGAGGCTTGTCAAAGCAGTGGTTGTTTACACTCTGCCAGGAATAATAAGAGGGGGTCGTTTTTCTGAACCGATTAATCACGAGCAGCCCTTGCACTTGTCTGCCGAGTTTTCCAGACACAGAATGGATGTCGATGGGGGGAAGCAATTTGTTGTGGAAAGAAAGCAGCTGATTGTTGTTGATCCATTGCTGTTGCTATGTTATTAGGGTTGGTGTGACACAGCAGAGGGGCACATGCAAAAAACTGTTTGATGCCCACATTTTCAACAATGAGTGAGTAAGTATAATCGACAACGACGAATTGTTAGACAAGAGTCGGATTCTTAGTCAGTGTACGGACTGAGATTCAGTCGATTCTCTCTCGGTGAGCAGAATGGCCGATGGCTACATTGATAATAGTTTTGTGCTAGTTGCACTTCTCTGTATTGTAGGGCCTGCAATAAAGATCAGTAGACAGGCTTCAGTTCACAGACAATTCAAACCAAATGGATAATTTAAAAAAGAAATAATAAGCCCTCCCTCCTACAAGCTTTATTTGCCTTCATAAACACTGGCAGGTTACTTATGTGTCTCAGTCACACACCTCCAGGTGCAGAAAATAAAAGAGTAACATGTACTGTAATGGGTATGTTCATGATTTACTGCTCACCCTCTGTTCTTTGTATGTTTAACTGGGTGATCAGATGAGGATAAACCTGTCCTGTAAAGAATTACAGACTGATATGTTCTTCTCCTACATGTTTGGCCGAGTGATATTTGGGCTGCATTGATGCGATGCTGATGCTGAACCGAATCAAAGCACGAGTAAAAAGAAGTTTCTAATCTTTTCATCTGACATTTTTATTGAATGCGTCTTGGAGCAACCAAAGGCTCCTTTAAGACCCTGCCAGAGTCACTTAAGGAAATCAGAGTGGGGGTTTTGGGAGCCTGCAGGGGTTCATTAGGACCAGACGGGTCCAACTTCCTTTGCCAGAGAGGAAAAGAGCGAACACAGAAACACAGAGAGAGAATGAATAAGAAAGGTAACGACCAGAGCGTGAGCGATAGCAAGCGAAGGGAGGGAAATAAGTGACCAGACAGAAAACGGCTGGAGAGACAGGAAGAGAAACTAACCAGAAGAAGAAGGCGACTAGAGTAGAGTAGACGGAGAGAGAGGAAAGATTGAGGGAGAGCAAAGAGAGACAGCGAGTGCTGCGATGCCAGTCTACTCTGTGACAGCTTGACACCACAAATCGAACTAAGCAATGAAGACAAGTAACGAGACAACTGTCGCCAGGATCACTGCCAGTCTGGCTGTTACCTATAGGCTACGCTGCTCTAAAGCCATACTCTTTTCATTTGTGGCTGTCATATCAGGGAGTGCTCTAAATGAAAACAGACCTCTTCCCTCTTTTTCTTTTGTGATGTTTTTTTTTTTCCTGAGGTAAGGTACTGTAGGTTGAAGTGGAGCTCTGCCCTTCTCAGCACACTGAGGGATGTATGGTAGAGTTCATTATATTGAGTGAAAGAGTCCCTGTTCCTCTTTTCCTCTGTGCACTGGAAGACATTCATCCCCCCCCGCTTCCTTCTGATAAATGGTTGCCGTTTAGAAAAATTTGCATGTGGGTGCGCGCACACGCTTGTACAAACCCATGTCATACTGGTGCAGATTTAGCATCGGACTTTTTGTATTTGTGGATCTATCCTCTAAACTAGTCGAAGAGACTCGGGCAGTGTTGGCCCAACTCAGAGAAGGTTATACAGTTGCTTCAGGTTACCAAAGACAGCTACATCTCCGGATAAGTTTTCATATCCTTGGCATGCTCTTATTCACCTATGCTCAGCCTCGCACCGCTACATTTATTCAAACATGGAAGCCTCTTTGTCCAACCGTATTCATATCGTGGCAGTTTGGGGTTTAGGTGTCTGACTTGAGGACAATTTAGGAGTAGCCTTTTACGGCTGACTCAAATGAACAGTCGTTCAGTAGTTACCGCTCTCTTTTGGACTACTTGCCCTTCGGTTGGAAGCGCATTCAACCCTCTGGCTCTCTCAGTTCCTTGGACCCTGGTTGTGATGTAAATATTATCTCACAGCACTGTTCCCAAATCTGCCACACAGCAGTAAGCACCTTTGTGTCAGGATTAGTAATGGCTAGAACCGTAGAGGAACGGAAGAGAAAAAGAGATGGAGTTTTTGAGTGCTACCCCCGCAACCTTTGTGACTCTTTGCACATCTCTGTAAAGGGGCTTTGAGGTTTTGTTGCTGATTTTCGCCCAAATGTCTTTATGGTTCCAAATGGCCTGATGTTGCACACCAATCTGTTTTCTCATTTTCCCCTTTCAGTATTATTTACCCAAGTTCATGATTGGTTGATAGGATGGATCTATTACGTGCTCTAAAACCTACGATTGGCTCAATGTTGCTCTGTTTATGTAAATCTCCATCTGTGATTGGCTGCCGTGCTGCTTTTTACGAGTTCAACTGTATCCAACTGCTTTTTTTCGAAGGGAAGATAGGAACGGGACGAATAATGTCTCACTCCAACTGCAGATTACGGCTACTGATAAGGATGAATTTCCAGCTACAGCACTATTAGCAGTGATTTTTCTTTGATTGAAAAGGATCTTTAATTTTCACCAACGGATGCAGCCATGCTGGGTTATAGAACGGGAGTTCTATAACCCAGCATGGGAGACGGCAAGTTTCAGTCAGTATGGCTATTACAAATCTAATGACATCAAAAGGTGCCAACCATACTGATGTTCCCACATGAAAAAATAGGGAAAAAAATGAAGTTTGAACGACGTTTGGAGGAGACCTAACTTATCTCAACAATCAAGGTTTATTAGCCTGAGCCAGCCTTTCGGAGGCCATCTGTTGCGTTGTCATTTTGAAGTCACCTCTTAGGAAGACACCATTTCAATTGCGGTTGCCAGTTCATTCACCCTCCCTCCGCACTTTGTCAAAAAGACAGAGGGAACATACAAAGAGTAAAAAGGGAAGAATTTATTTGTTGTGTCAGGTATAATAACTGATATCTGAATACCTTGCACCATCGCTGGTGTTTGTTAAGAAAGCTAAGCTGCTCTTGAATTTTTCCCCGGGTGATACTGGCTTTTGTACCTTAAATCACAGGTGGCTTATTCTGTTCTCGCTCAGTTGACTCCCTCTGAGCTATCTCAATTGCATATGATGGGACTGAGCCGAGAGCTGGTAATTCACTGATGCTCACAAAGAGATTGTTGGTGGCAGTGGTACGGATTGGTCTCACAGTGCCTGGCATACTTAAGTTACAGAGTCATGGACTGCTTCCTGTGGTTGACAGAAAAGGGCAGGGTCACTAATCTAGTGACAGCTTAACTTACACAATCTGTTCATATGCATGCTGTCATACACACATAGGCTCTTATTCATGCACAAGCATACACACATCAGTGTCAGACAAGATTCATGTCCAGACAAAGACTAAGAGTTCCAAAGTGTCCTTCAGAAAGACAAAACTCTCCCTTTCCATCGCTTTCCTCTCTCTTCTTATTGCGGGAACAGATGTCTTTTTTCCAAACATGCCCTAAATCCACTCCTGTAATTGCATGGCATTTCTGTCTTCTGAGTTGAGAAGGAGGAGGAGGAAAAAAAACGAGATGAAGTAGGAAAATATTCTTTGAATGTTTCTCTCCTCTCCTCTCTGGCAGATCAATCGAGCGCCGAGCTTTGGGACCGATCAGAAGATTGATTACGACGTGAAGAAAGGGGTGCTGCTAAATGCTTTCAAACTCCTCAACATTCGGTACGGTTCTCCACCATGGTCCTACACACACATGCACATGCTTGTTGATGGACACACGTGAATTGCATTCAGGGGCCCCATTAAGTTCCATGTGCAGAGGCAGACAAAGCTTACGACAAATTTTAATTTACAGGGCTCTGAATGTTTCAAGATTTCAATCGATTCTTTCAGGTTTCTTTATTTGGCAACCCTGAAAACTTTGGAATTACTTTGATGCTCGGCACAGTGCGGCCTTCATCTCGTTTCTTTTTCAATCGGATGACACCGTAGTGACATTTGTGAAATTTGTGTATTGGTGCTGCTGTAGTAGATACAAAGACAGACCAAGGTACAAAGCTATGCTACTACTGTGCGCATTGTGCACCCTTTAATCGGACATGCTGTGTGTGTGTGTGTGTGTGTATGTGTGACAGAAACAGGATAGCAGTAAGTTCTGCTATCTGTATTTCAGAGTCTACATTTACCCCCTGCTCTGTGTATTTACATAAACTTACTGTGTTACTCTTACTTTGCGGATGTATTTGTTTGCCTGTGTACAGTAGGTTATGCACACGGTCGTTCTTGTTGTGTAATGTATTTTTTGTATATGTAGTGTGTGTGTTTGCGTGTGTGTGTGTGTTTGCTGGCATGCTTTTCTGTCCCCTGGCTACAGTGAGCCTGTCCATTGATTGATCATCGTACACCAGACCTCTGGATCTCTGCTCTCTTTTTTACTTTCTCTCTTTGTGCTTGTCCCCCTATTACTGCTCTAAATATAGTCTCAACTCGACGAGTCACACACATGCACCAATGCAGCACACACACACACACACACAGATCAGTTGATCAATTACATGCAGCATCGTAGATCTACTTTGGCCGAGTGTGGTGCGGGGTGCAGCCATCCCACATAGAAACTCACTCTCCTTCCTCCAGCCCTGCTTCAGTCAACACAAAAACAAATCTCTTATCAAAATGATTTGTTTCATGGCTGATGTTTACTGTGTTCCCACAGATTAAAAGGGGAGATTTTGATTATTTCATGATGAATAAATCGTAGGAGGCCTGGAATGGCAGCGGGGAGGTATTTCCACTGGACAAACTGCTTATGTTCATGCTGGAGTGAATGAGGGCTTTGTTCTACCTCACTCACTTTTCCCTTATATAGTAATGGCTTTGCTTCCCAAAAGGGAGGGAGGGGTTGGTGGTGTGTAGAGGTAGGGTCGGCTCTCAACTCTGCTCACAACACCAACTGTATCAACGGGGGATCAATTCAGACCCGGCCGGGCATGGACATTGATAAACCTCAGCCCCCCAACGGCACTCAATATCCAATTTAAAGGGCCAGCGATTGACTAAAATGAATTGCCCTTTCTCCAGACCGCAATGGCCCACTTGTTCAGAATTAGCTGTCTGGTCCTGTTCATCCTGTGGTTGTCACTTTGTTTGTGCCGTGGCTCTGTCTTTATCTCTGTGTCGTTGAATGTTTCGTGAGGGATTTTTCTATTTGTTTAACTACCACAATGATGTGAAAAGGCAAATTCAGGCTCGTCCATCAGTTAAGGATGATACCTGCATGCTGTTAAACTTCTTCATTGTTTACAGCATTCATGAACACTGTTTGTCTGCAGATGACATCTGTTTTAACTGAGATGCAGTGATAATTCGAAAGGACTATCACAGTATGCTGTTACAAAATAGTAATGAGAATGGTAAAGAGAACTTGAGCAGATTAAGACAATGAAATTTCAGTAATGGTGCATTTGTTTCTCAACAGCAGCTAAACCTGCGATAGAAAAAGAATTGAAGATTCAAATAATTATTGATAAACGGAAATATGCTGTTTCAATTTGCGTTCTTCCGTACTTACACTTGCTATTTTGAGTGCATAAGTATCAAGTATCTAAATTGAGACACAGTCGTCAAAGCTTCAATGGCAAAACAGCAAAAACACGCTTTAACTGTAACTGTATTCTTAATGGTGCTGCCCTCTTTCCTTATGCTTTAAATGTGCATCCTTTTGACGCTGTACTTGTTCTACGTTGATCCAGAGCCAGTGATAAGAAACGCAACCTAGCCCAGCAAAAGGCAGAGGCTCAGCGACGGCTCTATGGACACGGCTCCATGAAGAAACTCTCGGCTGCCTCCTCAGACTGGGAGAAACAACGTCACACGCTGGAGCGTAGGAGAGAAGAGCTGGTAAGTCACGAGCAGATTATTAAACTATAGCATTAGCTTTAAACCTCTCCGAAAAGATTTGCTGAGCTAGGCTGTACTTGACTTTTATACATTTACACATATTCCGTCCTGCGATCGGCCTCGTAAAAACATAATTCTCTCAGTTGGCAACTGGCCAACGTCTGTGGAGCATCTGGGATGCTATAATCACTTGCACAAGGTGGTGCATCTTGACTAAGGTCAATGGAGTTAAGAGTAAAACTCATTCATTTCCCCACACAGACTTTCACAACCAAACTGGGAACTGAAACAGTGGCTGTGCAGGCATACTTCCTGAGCTTTTTAGGCCACACCAACATGAGCACAAACGGTTGTTCGGCTTAAGCAATTCAGGAGCAGGTGCTCATCAGAGATGTGTTCAGAGACATTTAGTTTACACGTCGATCAGTTAGTAAAAAAAATAAATTAGAAATTCTTATTTTGTAGGAGGTGTCCACTTCAGTAAACAACCCAACAATACATGCGTGTTTGTGGCATGAACCTTTCTCAGGATCAGAAAAGATAAGAAAAGCCTGAGCAGAAACTTTCACTTACCTCTTACTTAATGTCAAAGTTTTCTGAGACAAGCATACCATTTAATTAGTTTCTCTTTGAAATGAAGGAGTCGGGGGAGCTTTTTTGAGAAAAGTGGCAGCTACTAGTACTTTAGGCCTCCCGCGCTCTTTGATTAGCCTTTTGATCAGCCACGGCAGTAATCAGTAGGAATAAGGAAAGGTGGCGCACAGGCACTATTTTAAAAAGAGGACTACCTCATGGTTGAGTGCTGTTATGGCTGAAGTGCAAGATTGGGATCAGGTCTGTTGAAGGCACATATCGCTCAGAGCTCAATGATACTGCATTACCCGTATTGAAGTCAGTCCCTCCTCTCTGCTTTATGCTAAATTGGCCGACTGAGCTACACAATTATACCCACCTTACATATCAATTGGAGAATAGATGGAAAAATGCCTCTTAATTATGAGGTATTGTTGGGTACTTTTTTCTAATTTTTCTCCTTTTTATTACTTTATTCTTTCTTTATCTCAAATAGAAGGTAAGTGGAGGTTACAGTGACTTTCACCTGAGAGATGAAGTAATTTTCCTTCGGGTTTTCTCCTATTTCTAGAAAGAGCGACTGGCACAGGTCCGCAAGCAGATCTCTAGGGAGGAGCATGAAAAGCAACATCTGGGGAACTACAGGTAAGGGAGAGGCAAACAGCCTCCCTTCAGGAACTCCACCCACTATACCGGTACCAGTACATTTATGGGGTCATCTGCATAGTGCTACACTCTCAGGAGAAAAAAAGAATGCTGCTGCAGAGAGAACAAACACAAGAGAACACCCAATGTTTTGAGAACACTAGGGGGAAGAATTAAGACAGAGGGAATATGTAAAAGTGAAAGGAAATCAGAGGCAGTGTGTTATGTCTAGGTCCCAACTGTTACTCCTCTATTCACACTGTTTTCAGGGTTTCAGAAATTCAAATGGGCATGTATACTTTGCCTGCCTACTGCAAGCCATTCTCCACCTCCACTTTCCACCACACTTCTACTCTTTTCTCCTCTAACTCCAGCTGGGACTTTAGAAAACATTGAGCGTGTCCATTCTTAACAGTCACCTCACAGATGGAGCACATCCATCTTAGAGCATGACTCAGCAACACAAAGTTCTGATATGCCGCTTATCCCTTCCAAAATAGTTAACCCTCGTCACTCCCTCAGTTTCTCTTCCGACCTTTATCTCTTTATCCAACATGTACACGCGTGCAACTTTTCAAGTTCTCGATTTTCTTTCTCTCTCTCTCTCCCAGACACACACGCCTACACAATTGGCTCACACACACACACTTGCCCTTCTCGCTGTCTGCCCAAGTGTAAGTGACTTCTTGACTCATCACTTGACTGAATGGATAGTCAGAATACTGATCCCAGCCTGCATGAAGTGCTGTCACCTCCTTCTTCTTTTCAGACACGCAGCCAGACAGTCAATCAGACAGGCTGAGGTCTGTCTGGAGCACCCCTAATAAAAACCTCTTAGCATTCAAATGGTGTCCCAGCGCTGCACTGGAGTCTGATTAACACACTGCTTCTCATTAGATGAGTTTGGGTAATGAACTTACTTATATTCTGCTATTAGATGAACTTGCATCAGTTACAGACAAGCCAGGACCCCATGGCATCAGAAGGAAACCCAGCTGGTTGATGCTATTGTTGATGTTCATTTAACATCATTTACACAGTTGGAATAGGGAGGCTTGAGAGACACCGCTGACCGAAAATAAAGATAGATTTAAACTGATGTAAATGGAATATGACTTCTTTTATATGTCTATAGCCCAGTTGGGATGAACATGAACATTTTAGATAAAAATACTGCAGGGTCACCCTCAAATAAAATGTCCTTATGTTCAGAGATGGAGGGTGCCAAAAAGAGGGAGCAGTTAACACCCACTATTACAGTTGTTTCAGTCAAGTGATTTATGTTGCTCATTGAGGATTGAAAAGTTCTGGCTCTTTTCATATATATTATGATTTAAATACAGTTTATCCCCCTGTTATGAAGAGACTTTTTTTTCCCACATTTCTCAGATAGTCCCTCAAGAGGAAGAAAATAATCTGGTCCATGTACCTTAAAGGTGGTTAAAAAGTGTGGCAGTGACAAAATCTCATATATATACAATAGTGCCAAAGGAAGGTAATAAAGTGATAAGTTCATCTCAGGTTTCTCTACATTCAGGAGTTGCTTGATTTGAACTACATTAACGAAAGTAATGCATAGAATTGGGTCAACTTCTCAACAATATGGAAATCATGTACCCAGAACAGCTTCTCTGCAAAAAGTTGTTAAATGGCAGATGGGGTGCAGTAAAAGTTTTAATGGTGAATTCGTGCAATGTTAAACTTTACTTGGCATTGCACTTCCACTAAAATGTACAACTGCCAATATTTGTGACTAGCTTAATCTGTATTTAAAAGATAGAGTAGAAAATGTCATGGTGCTGTATAAACTTTACAGTCCACTTTATGTATTTGTGTTTAAAAAAAACTCCCTCTAACTTAAATACGCTGTTGATTCAAACGCCAAAGTCAGGAGGAGTCTGGCTCTAAATGTCTGCAAAGGCGCCAAACTATGTCCTTGCTTTTACACTCCACACTGGCCAGTGCTTATTAAAACTCTGCCATTGTTTTGATTTGATGGCTAAAGCGATGACATGGGGAGAGTTTTCAGATGTACTATGAGGAAAACCAGCCAGAGGTTTATACATTTTCTAAATCCCTTCAGGCCTAAGATAAACACTGAGCATTGTTAAAACTAAGCAGAGCTATGAAGGTGTCTATTGAAGTGCACATCACGATGAGTGTGTATGCGTGTGTACTGTATGTGTGTGAAACAGTTGTGCATTAATGCATTACTCAATGTGAAAAGACTGGTGTGAAGTTTGCAGTTTCTTGCCTCAAGGTCTACATTAATACTTCTTCACCTTTCTTTTGTCCCTCCATCATTTCACACCTCTTATTGAAATACTTATAATTCTACCCGCCTGTGTTTCCCCTCCTGCTTGCTATCTTTTTGTCCATCTACCACGCTCACCTGCTGTGCCTCGACCTCTCTTCGCCTCACTCCATCCACTCCTCCCTCTTCTTTCATCAATCTCTCCCTCTCTTAAACTTTGTATTCCTTTTCTATTTCTTTCTTGCTCCTTTCCTTCATATTTCTGTCTCTCAAACAACCTACTTCCTCCACTCTTTTATTACCCGTCTTTTTATCCGTCATGGCTCCCTCCCTCCCAATTCTGTCACCACTCCTCCTCTCACCTCATATCCCTCTTTCTCTGAACCCCAATCCCCCTCGTCTCCTTCTTTCTCTCCACCCCATCACTCCCACCCTCTCCTTTGTGAACCCAACCTCTGTTTTCTCTATTTCATCATTTCTTCTCTCACCCTTCTCATCCCCTTTCTCGCTGCACTGATGACCCTCCTTCTTCGCCTTTTCTTTCTCCCTCTTTCCCCACTTCTCCCCCATTCTCCTTGCTTTTCTCTCTCTGTCTCTGCGGCCTACAGACGTATTTACCCCCCAGACGACAAGCTGCTGTTGGAGAAGTATGAAAGCCTGCTCTCGGCCGCCTTTCAGACCTTCCTCGCCGGGCGAGCTGCCTCACTTCAAAAGGAAATGAATAATCCTCTGAAACGAATGAAGGCACGTACGTCAGTGGCAGACTGTGAGACGCACACACACGCAAACATCATATAAACCTGCATAGACCCACACACAAACATATACACACAATATGCAGACACTTGTGGAGAAGCGCATTCTAAAGAAAAGAAACACACATGCATTTCTATTAAGATTCTGCCCACAGAGACAAGAAAGGATGCGCAAATAATGCGGAAAGTGTGCCGCAGTCCTTCAGATTTGTTAGAACGTCTGACAGTATGTCCTTCTCTATCTGCCTCGGTTTCCCGCTGTCATTCAGTCACTTTCTCCACAAATATTTATTGTGCTGTGAACATGAGCTTTTAAACGCAAATCAAATCCCACAAAACAATGTAATTTTGGTTTCTTTACCGTCAGACACTCTTGAGTTTCCCTTGTCTTCCCTTGTCTTTCTCTATCCTCCTGTCAAAGTTAGCTTTGAAAAGGCTTCAAGGTTGATTTCAGTAGTTGTCCATATCCTGAGTGCATTTTCCTACATGTTGTTTATTCATTAAGATTCACACATTTAAACATATATATGAGAACAAACTAATACATGCACATGTTTGCATTGGGGTAGAAGTATTTGTATGCATGTAAATGCCTCTTTGGTCCAGAACAGATGGAGCTAAACCTTGAAAGTAAAGAAATGAAGGGACTTTGCAAATGAGAGAAGTTGATTTCCATTCCACACAACTTTAGCAGAGCGAGGGGGAGTATGGAGTGAAATCTCAAAATGGTCTACATTGATCAACAAATTAAAAATAAGATTTACAAATGTGTACAAAGATTTGTGCATAATTTGGGGCATTCACAAATGTGTGTTTCAATCCACACACAAATTCCAAGCATAAAAAGTTCATATCATATGAAAAGTAACGTTATAGACTCCTCAATTTGTAATATTTTAACTCTAGTTTACCAAACACGAGATCAGGTAAACTGTAAATCTGTATGTAATATTTAGATTTGCTTGTGGAGTTTTGATACTATTCTCCAGCTCAACACAGATCTACAAAACGCATGCTCAATCAATTAAACAAAGACACAGAGGAAGGCATTGTGGGATAATACAACACATGGAGGGAAGATGCATTGATGAGTAGTAAAGATACAGATGAACCAAAAAAACATACTTCTTTTTACAACAAAATAATAACAGTGAATACTGAATATGGATTCTTTATTTTTTTATAGTCGTATCGACGTTACAAATTCATATCAAAGCACTCGGAGGAGATGTAATATGCAACTATTGCAACTTTTATAGAAACAACCCCACCTTAACAGCAACTAGCCCCTCAAAGTTATTGTCTGTCAGAGAATCTCTGCAGATAATTTTTATAGAGACGTCAATCAAAGATCAGGCGGACTGGTACAACAGGCCGAGGTAAGTTTAATTAAGTCAACACAAAGAGATGTGGCTCTTGTTCAAAGTAGGAAAGGAGAGAGATAACAAGAACAAAGGACGCTCGAGAATTTGCTATCTAATAACATGATCATGAGTGACAACTGGACTGCCCTTATTAATGGACAGAGTGGGAGATACTAATCTTGGCAATTTTTGGAAAAGAAAGGGTGTTTCTGAATTTGAATATGATTTTCAGCAGACCAGGGAAGAATAAAACTTGATTTGAGGTACTTTTCTTTACAGACTTCAGATGGGGTTGTTTGTGCTCCTCAGCTTTGCTTTTTGTGTCGTCATTGTTGTTGATTTCAGTGCCCACAGATAGTGGAGACAGGGTTTAGCTAATTTATAGCTAGTTAGTTTGAGTGCGATTGTTGCCAATTCAAGTTGTTCAAGTACCAGTCGTTGTTTTGCCTTTATCATTTATCTGCTTACAAAGCAAGACATCCTCTTAACATGTCAGGAAATTATCTATCCAATGTTTGCATTAGATAGCTAACGAATTTTTGCCTAAATATAACCGTTTTAAACTTTGTAGATAAACCTATCCTTCTTAAGGTTTCTACCTTAACAACAATTGATGATTGTGTGATAAACCAAAGCCTTCAACGATGTGCACCAGTCACAGTGCTTTGGCCTACAACCCTGGTGGGATCAATAATCCGTCATAACCTGACGTGCGTGTTTGGATAGTTGTTCCTGGGGCCAGAGGTCATTTGTCAACATATCGGTTAAGTCTGACGGACATTGTACCCGCAAGACTCATGTTTGATGCGTTTGTGGTTTCACAGGGCCATGAATTGAAAAATGTCATGGATTGTCACACTATCAAAGAAAATAAAACGTGTGTTGCTACAGACAGCACACCACCCACTGGTGATGCTGGTTTCTACAGGGTTTGCATCACTCTTCTCCCCACTTTCATTACTGTTAGGTTGACAGGTATGCATCAACTTGTTTCTGTTGTTAGCTATCCGTGTTTTCCCGCCCGCTCAGCTGATTTATTCCCATTCTTTCATTTTTCTCACATGGACACTGAAAATAAAACATAAAAATGCACTCTGCCAATATAATAAAATATCAGAAGTACACAAACTGCAAGTGTTGTGTGGGAGCACTTCACACTCAGAGGTGTGAATCTTCACTGGCCTCACAATAGGATTTGATTACGATTCACCTACACATATTAAAGGGTTCTTAAAGCATCTCAATATATTGCATCCTCAACATTCTATATTAATGCAGATGGCTACTTTTTCGTCAATTAATAAAGGCAGTGAGAAAAATCCGAATTACTTTTTTAGTAAATGCTTCAAAAATCAGTCTATAACTGTCTATAATGTAAAAAGCTGCATCTGTGTGACCCACCTGTAGTGCATTACTAGTGTGTTGTAATGTACATACGGTTTTCACATAGCAGCTCTAAGACAGGCTCTTCCTGAACGCCTATGGCATTCTACACTGCATGAATTAGCCTAGCAGAATTTAGTTAGTAAGTTAGTATGTTACTTTGTCTTACTCAAAGTTGACTTAGTTTAGGACAGAACAACACTGCAGTTCAATTTCTGCCTGCACACACATTTTTTTTCGGCCTCACATTGTTGAAACAGAGCATATAATATTGGTGGAGACAGCAACAAGATAGCGGACTGCCGAGTGTGTCTCTCAGCTCCGTGCACACAAAGCTTCGCTCTCGGTAAAATACAGAGGTCAAAGGAGAGGAGAGAAAGAGGACAGAGGAGAGACTCAAGCCTGTCAGTAAATGACAGCAAAACGCAGTAAAGGCTGTCACTGAGCTGAAATGAAATCAAATACCCCCGCTGCGGACAGCTCAAAATTGACTTCCAGTAGTTGATAGTGAAGAGGAAAATAGGATGAAAACATGAGCTGCATATGGGCGGCTGATTAATTTACACGTCAGGCAGAATTAACAACACATCATTGAGGCTAAATACCTGAACCCAGGACCAGCAAGTACAGCCCGTTGTCGCTCCCAAATCATCAAATACGGAATCTTGGTCAGTGGCCCTTCACATTAAAGAATGACACTCCATGTGACCGAATTTATGGCAGGAGTAAAGGAAGAAGTCAGATGACGTGGTATAAAGAGCGACGGAGGAGGACGTGGTGTAGATACGTATCCTAGCCTACTTAACAAAGTAGCAAACATAATTACTTTAACCCAGACCACAATCTTTACCTAAACCTAACCATGTAGTTTTAATTCCTAAATATATAGTATCATCCAATGTACTGCATTTGATCCTGCAGTTCCAGTTCAACCAGTGCCACCTACAGGCAAGAACAGTTATTGTAGCAGTTTCGAGCTGCCACCTGTATACATGAAATGATAGTCGAAACTGTATTTTTACAGCTGCTGTTTGTTATGTAAGAATCTTTAAAAAATCGGAACATATTTTCGACTCAACAGTGAGAGTAGAAGAGTCTCTGCAAAGCGTATCCTCCATGCTTTGAAGAACAAATGAGAGGGGTCCTCGGGTTTTTTTTTTTATTTGTCTAAAAGAATAATCCCAATTTTACCTAGAATGTTTCTTCTGGCTCAGGGGTATGTTTTTTATTTGAAGATGGAGGAAGTAAATCCCTTACCACGATGAGACGTCATCTGTCAAACAGCCAAGAAATATGAAGTCAGAGAATGTCATGGTAGAAGCTGCCAGCAATAGAGAAAAATCACTGTTTATTAATAAAAATGGATACAAATACAAAAGCTCTCTGGACAGGACTACCCACTTGGTCATGCGGTGCCAAAGAAATACTTTGTTTGGACAATACAGTTTATGTATACAGAGATTGTTGGCGATAGCAAAGTACTGTAACAGGCACCTATACATATTATCTGGGCTAACACACACAGAGGGTTTAAAAAATTTAATTTGTAAAGTGATCATTCAATTTCATAATCTATGAAAGTTAGGAAACACTTATCAGTGACTGTACAGCCAGTGATTGCTGAATAAGAGCTCTCCTCAATCATTTGATGTAGACTCCCTGGGTTATAAAATAGTTTTACTAAAGTGAAAGTACGTAACTTTCAGTTAACTGTGTAATGTTGTGCTTTTCTTCCATGTTGTAAAACATCAAAACCTCCATGTAATCTGCTTTGGAGCAGTTTAACAAGGTAATAGGCCTCCAGTGATTTTTAAAGCACGGTGGACGAGGAAGCTTTCACCGCGTGAAAGGTTATTGAGTTTATTGAAGTAAAAATGCCTCTAGTTTTAATTTGTCAATTCCCGCTTGTTACATACAATGTCTTTTCAAAATAAACCTAATAAATTATGAAATACTTCAGAATCAACATAAATACCCCCAACTAACTCACTCAGTATTGAAATGTTGACTCTCCTTTTTATGTTTTCTTCATTTCTTTTTCTGAACAGCTTAAAATATGAAGAATTAACACCTCTATATCTGACACTATATCTCAACTGTCTGATCAGACTGCGACCCAACCCTGTTCAGGCTGACTCATTTACAAGTTCACACCATTATGCACATAAACACTTGCATAGCCACATAAAGGTATACATAAACTAAAAAGACACACAACAGAAAGGCATCATTTAGAAAAAGTCAAAAGCTAAAAAAAACGTATCTGAGCCCATGGATGAGTATTTAATACTTCCAGACGTGGAAGTATGCCACTGTACACATACAGTTGTGTGAAAAAGTGTTTGCCCCCTTCCTGATTTCTTAATTTTTTGCATGTTTGTCACACTTAAATGTTTCAGATCGTCAAACAAATTTAAATATTAGACAAAGATAACACAAGTAAACACAAAATGCAGTTTTTAAATGAAGGTTTTTATTATTAAGGGGGAAAAAAATCCAAACCTACATGGCCCTGTGTGAAAAAGTGATTGCCCCCCCCCCCCCTGTTAAAACATAAATTAACTGTGGTTTATCACATCTTTGGAAAGCTGAGTTCAATTTAGCCACACCCAGGCCTGATTACTGCCACACCTGTTCTCAATCAAGAAATCACTTAAATAGGACCTGCCTGACAAAGTGAGCTAGACCAAAAGATCCTCAAAAGCTAGACATCATGCTGCGATCCAAAGAAATTCAGGAACAAATGAGAAACAAAGTAATTGCGATCTATCAGTCTGGAAAAGGTTACAAAGCCATTTCTAAAGCTTTGGGACTCCAGCGAACCACAGTCAGAGCCATTATCCACAAATGGCGAAAACATGGAACAGTGGTGAACCTTCCCAGGAATGGCCGGCCGACCAAAATTACCCCAAGAGCGCAGCGACGACTCATCCAAGAGGTCACAAAAGACCCCAGAACAACATCCAAAGAACTGCAGGCCTCACTTGCCTCAATTAAGGTCAGTGTTCATGACTCCACCATAAGAAAGAGACTGGGCAAAAGTGGTCTGCATGGCAGAGTTTCAAGACGAAAACCACTGCTGAGCAAAAAGAACATAAAGGCTCGTCTCAGTTTTGCCAGAAAACATCTTGATGATCCCCAAGACTTTTGGGAAAATACTCTGTGGACTGACGAGACAAAAGTTGAACTTTTTGGAAGGTGTATGTCCCATTACATCTGGCGTAAAAGTAACATGGCATTTCAGAAAAGGAACATCATACCAACAGTAAAATATGGTGTTGGTAGTGTGATGGTCTGGGGCTGTTTTGCTGCTTCAGGACCTGGAAGACTTGCTGTGGTCAATGGAACCATGAATTCTGCTGTCTACCAAAAAATCCTGCAGGAGAATGTCCAGCCATCTGTTCGTGACCTCAAGTTGAAGCGCACTTGGGTTCTGCAGCAGGACAATGATCCAAAACACACCAGCAAGTCCACCTCTGAATGGCTTAAGAAAAACAAAATGAAGACTTTGGAGTGGCCTAGTCAAAGTCCCGACCTGAATCCGATTGAGATGCTGTGGGGCTTAAAAAGGCGGTTCATGCTCGAAAACCCTCCAATGTGGCTGAATTACAACAATTCTGCAAAGATGCGTGGGCCAAAATTCCTCTACAGCGCTGTAAAAGACTCATTGCCAGTTATCGCAAACGCTTGATTGCAGTTGTTGCTGCTAAGGGTGGCCCAACCAGTTATTAGGTTTAGGGGGCAATCACTTTTTCACACAGGGCCATGTAGGTTTGGATTTTTTTTCCCCTTAATAATAAAAACCTTCATTTAAAACCTGCATTTTGTGTTTACTTGTGTTATCTTTGTCTAATATTTAAATTTGTTTGATGATCTGAAACATTTAAGTGTGACAAACATGCAAAAAAATAAGAAATCAGGAAGGGGGCAAACACTTTTTCACACAAATGTATGTACACACACACACACACCGATGTTCGTGCACCAACACACCAACACAAAGAGCCAGAGCACTGCGACCTTTTCAAGAACCTCAGAAAGCTGCTTGATGGCTAATCTGAGAGAAAGCAATCACTTTTCTACTGTATTTGAGCGTTGAGTGGGAGCTTTTGATGTCCCGAGCCGTGAAGCAACATTAATCACCTTTGCTTGTATTTCAGCTATGGCCAAATGGCCAAGGCCCCAGCATTCTGGCCGTGACGCTGCCTTTTTCCAAATTCACCCTCTAAGTGCTGCCAAATAGCAATGCTTGTGCAGCCAGGGCCTTTTTTCTAACCCCCAGATAAGGTGCACATGCCTGTTAAGTCAAACTTTTTCAACCTTCCCTCTTTTTTGATAATTAAAGTTTCTTAATTCCTCACAAGTCATTTTGACTTCAAAGTAATTAGAGTTATAAAACATCAAAGAATTTAGATTATCAGTGTATTATCCAGATTTAACTACCTTGTTAGTCTTTGCTGATGCTTGATATTCTACAGGAAGTTCTTCATGTAACATAAATCATAACCTTTGGCGTATTCTCATCCACCTTGTGTTTTCGGTGTGTGTTGTGTAGGAGGAGGACATCTTGGATCTGCTGGAGCAATGCGAGCTGGACGACGAGAAGCTGATGGGCAAATCCTCCAGGCAACGAGGCCCTAAGGTGGGTGAGAGTGAGAGAGAGGTAGGGAGACACAGACACCAAGAGGGAGGAGGGAGAATAAGGGCCACATGCCTCAAGGGAACTACGAAAAAGTGCAAAGGAGAGTGTCAGAGCGAGAAAAAGAGAGAGGGACGGGGTAGGCAGGTAGGCAGATGCCTGAAGCTAACGCCCACAGAAAGCATATAGGACGTCATTCTTAAAAATAAAGAGGGGGGTCGCGGGTTAGGTGAGAAAGAGAAGAATCAGAAAAAAGGCCCAAAGAAAAGATCCAACTCCCCTAGGGGACAGCTGTCAGGCGGTCTCTCGCGCTCTCAATGTGCTATCTTTCTTTCTGTCTATCTCCCTCTCTTTCCCTCTCTCCCTCTGTCACATACACCTCTACGCCCCCTCGATTTCCCACGACAGCACATTACTCCCTCCATCACCTTGCTTCACTCCCCTCCCTTCACCTCTTCATCCCTATTCTCTCTCTCTCTCTTTCTCTGCACATCTACATCCATCCCTCACTCGAGGGCTAAATTGGCTGGAACACTCAAAGAGTGTGTTAGGGACTCGACAGCGCAGCATTAGAGAGGCCTTAGCTGGAATGAGGACTTGTTCTGACACAATCACTGTTGTCCAAATTAATTTGGACCCCGTCAGTTTCGATGTTGCCGAGTGTGCTGAGAGAGACATTGAGAGCGGGGGGAAAGAAAGAGCTGTGACGGATAGATTCGCTCCTTGGGGTGTAGCGCTCGCAAGCCATCTGGTGAAACCGAACCAGCGAGTGTGCGAAAGCTTGAAGAGAGGAGTGAAGCAAAGGGATTAGAGGGAGGATTTTGAGGGAAGGAATGGTCGCTAAGGTTTGCTTTTGCTGAGGAAATGTTCAGACGTGGAGGACAAGTGGTAGAGAGCAAGGAAGGCAGGAAGGGAATTGGTGAAAGGAGGGAGAGCTAGCAAGTGCCTCAAAGTTTTCCTTCTCCTGTTATTTAGTTATTTCTAATATTGGCTTTTTGAGTCCTACTTTTGTAATTATGATATTCACCGTATAACATTTGTTTCTCGCGGTGTCCTCAGGTGACCATTTAGCTTGAATATACCCAATCGCTCCCACTCCGTCATCCAAAGTTTCTCTCTGTCTGTCTCCTCGTCTGTTCAGTGTCTGGCTTTCTCTTGCTCGCTTGTGTTTATCCACTGTGTTCCTGTCTCCTTTTCTCCCTCCAATCATATGTTCATTGTCCTTTTCTCTCTCTCTCTTTCTCCCTGTGCTCATTTCCGTTCTCCCCGTCTATTCAATGCCTCATCTCTGCTCCAATACTCGGATTCACCTTGTACTCCTCTTTATTTCGCTCCCCATCAATCTGATGTTCCCATCTTCACTTTTATTCTCCTCTCATGTATTTAATCTCTCTGTCTCGGTCCTCCTCTATCAGTCACCCGCACAGCTATCCAGCGGTGACTGTGTAAGCCCTGTGATCACTTCCTGCCCATTAATTTGGGTGGCCTGACAGCACTGCCCGAGCTAACCGTTGAATAACAGATGTATAAATGCTTTATTAATGCTATCAGTATCTCCCCTTCCAGGATGTGAAATAGACAAGGCTCAACTTAATGAACTCCTGACTAAAAAAAAAAATGTGTTTGCGTTTTAGGGCGAAGTAGATCATCATTTCACATGTGCAGAAGTCAGCCACTTGTGCTTGACTGAGATTAAAAGTTTTGGTTTTCATCAAGACGCAACCAGAGTTTCAGAATGAAAGGCTAAGTAGACTTACAGTTTCTTGTTGTATCAGTCATGCAAAACATTCAATATATAAAGAAACTTCTACTTATTTTTAACTTTCACATATCGACCAATCAGGTCAAATTTGTTTAAGGTGCCATTCATACTGACAGCCGGGCTTAAAAAGGATGTGTAATTGTGCATCTGTGCATAATGAGTCTGCAAGCAAATATACACTCGTGTGGGCACGTGGGCTAGACGAGTCACCAGCAGGTCTCCCAGTGACAGATGGTAATGGACTGAGGGTGAGGAGAGGCTCAGGGAGGCTGACAACATCTCAATGTATTAATGTACAAGTGTGTGTGTGTTTGTTTACTGTTGTACGTATGTCCTTGTGAGAGGTTGTTTGAGTTTTAGACTTTGGAAGGAAGATATTTGTCCCAAAGGAGGTACTTTTGGATGGTGCAAGGCTGGGAAGTGAATGCAGTCACATGAGTGTGTGTGGGTCTGTGAGAGAGAGGAAGGTCATATATGAATTATCATGTCAGTTTCATCTGTGTATGTGTGCACAAATGAATATATCGACCTATGTGTACTTCTTTTGAATATATGTGTATTTGCCTTACGTGTCTGTATCTGTGTTTGTCCCTGCCAGCCCATGACCGCCATGCCAGAATGCAGTCAGACACCAAGACGTCAACGACCGGACTACCTGGCTGACTTCACCAGTGGCAGCAGCGCCGATAACTCCTGCTCCTCCTCAGACGAAGAAGAGGAGGAGGAGAGGAAAGCAGAAGGAGGAGGAGGCGGAGAGAAGAGGGAGAAGAAAGTTTCCTACGACCTCGCGGAGAGCAAGGAGAAGAACTTGGCTGAGCGCTCTGGTAAAGCGGCAGGATGGGTAAAAGTGTCTAAGAATGGCTTCATTAGGACGCCAGAGTGTCGGGGTTTGACAGGGCCCTTGTTTCCTGCAATCTTTCTTTCTTGCTTTGTTTGCTTTCTTATTTACTTATTTTTTTTTTTTAGCCATCTATCTGATTACAGCGGTTAACTTAATTGCTAAAACAAACTTGTTATTCAGATGTATTAATGTGCAGAGTCGGATACCTACACATTTACACATTTTCTTTAAGATTTCTGTTTTAGCATTTGCGTCTATTTCGATCCTATCTGACTATAGCAGAGAACAAAGTGCAGACGGGAGCGATAGCGAGTGTGAATGTTTATAATGATGCCATAAGGAAATTGGATAGTATTCATAGTTGTACAGAACACATTTCCATATACATGCCCATGCACAGACACTTTTTTTTAAATACATATGCTGAGAGTTTTGCTTTGATCAGTACCTTCAGCTCTCACAGGCACATACTCTCCAGCAGCAGCATGGGGCAGGTCGTGATGGTGTGAGCCAATAGGGGGGACAGTACGGATGTTTATCAGCCCACCAGTATTTATGTTCCAATTTGATGTGATAAAATGGTAGTAGGTCCTTGGAATTTTAATTAATGTGTAAGCAGGGTGATCATAGTCTCCGAATCGTGAAAAAGTGGCTCTTTGTTGCAGAGTTTTTAAGTTAAGGAGGTTCTCAGCTTTACACACTAGCTGGACACACACACATATAATGAAGCACTGAAAAGCACTCGAGGGAAGAAAAGCACCGTAAACAGTGCAGTTACACTGAATAGAAGGTGAAGGCAGAGAAGAAGGAGTTTGATTGAAAGAAAAAGGGAGGGAAAAAAATACCGCTTTCGTTGTTTACCTTGAAAACACCTTGAGTTTAATGCTGAAATATTCTGGGTTTTATAGCGAGACCGATAAGTCTCAAGCATTCCCACCAATTCGCATAAGTCACAAAGATCAACTCACTTTCAGCTCTCTGAAGTGAGAAAGAGGGCGTCTTTCACTGCATTCTATGTGCCAACCTTGGAAAGAAGAAATTCTCTGGTTGCATTGTGGGCGGAAGGTAGATAGATAGAAATAGAAAGAACGCTTGCTTGATGAGCTCATTCTATTTGTCACAAAAAAAGGGACAAAGCCATCTAAAAGCCTAACTTTTGGGTCTTTGTGTGTGTGTGTGTGCGTGCGCTTGTGCAGAGAGAGAGAGAGAGAGACAGAAACCCTTCCAAGCCCTACTCCATACCAAACCACCAAAGGGTTGATGGACTAAGCCCCATAATACTTTCATTTGGCAAAATATCCAAACCTCAGACAGTTTAGCAGCCCCACGCACGCACGCACGCACGCACGCACGCACGCACACACGCACACACGCACACACACACACACACACACACACACACACAATCACTTGCGTGCAAACTTGATGTCAGACAGACAGAAACTGCACAAACAGACAACACACACTAATACACTGGCTAGTAGACAATCTGGAGGAGTTTCAAGGGTGACGGAGAGAGTTAGTGTGGGTATTCAGCTTTATTTCCTGTGTTTTTCTACTGTGTGTGTCTGAGAGAGAGCTGCTCTTTAATCCATCCCCAAACCAGACAAGACTACTGTTTAGTTTCTGGTTTCCACTACACATGCTGCGGTTGTTAATAACACACACGCACACACACTGGGCCACTGAGCCAGCGTGCCAGAGCGCTGCGGCAATGGGAGTTTTAAAGCCACACTTCATCTCCAAAGCCACCAGGCAACGGATGGAAAGCAGAGAGGAGAGCTTGACAGTGACTGGGGCACTGAGACAGGATCAGGGAAGAAAAGAAATTGAAATGTGACAGTGAGACAGTGTTCCTCCCCCCCTCCCTCTCCCTCTCTTCTGTTTCTCTGCAGGTCGCATGCACTGGAAACCTCCAATCAAGTCACTCAAAACCAGCCCTGCTCCCTCTGCTTCTCCAACACTTTCTGGACCAATCAGACGCTCCATCTCCTGCCCGCGCTCCATCGCCTCCCTCTCATCGCCCAATGAGGTGCGGGCGTCGTCCTCCAGGCCTTCTCCCACAGTTCCCATGGCCACTCCCCTCGTCAGGCCGAGCTCCGCCACGCTGCGCTCTCACTCGCTGAGCCGGAGCGGCTCTGCCCACCGTGTGCCTCACAGCAACAGCCTGGGGACCATCCACTCCAACATAGTAAGATACTCGACAGTCACACAAAGTGGAATTCACCTCTTTGCAATTCAGAATGTGTCAGATAAGTTGTCAGTCACAGAAAACTATATGAAATTCATTTTCGAATAGTCAAGCTGTCATTTTGCTCAACGTGGCAATCCTCTGCTGAGCCACTACTTCAAGTGGGTTAAAGTAAACAATCAAGAATTACTTTCAAATTCTATTTCACCAAAGTCTGATGTACTTCTGCCATCGTTGCTTTTCTCCTTCTGTGGCAAATATTGTATCTTGGCCCACTAGGAATCCCCTCAGCAGCTTCTTCGATACTGTATAAGCCTACTGTAACCTTCTATTGTGTTGCCATCTGTTGCTTTCCGCCTGCCTCCTCCATTCCCCTTCCTTCTTTACAAGTATGCTGGTAACCTTTGCATACAGTGGAACAAACTCAAATGGAGCAGAATAATTAACATTGAGAGTAGAACTAAGTGGGAAAACCTTTGTACTGAAAGGCCATAGACTGCGCTTGTATCCTGACACACATGTATACAAAATGACAGAAGAATTCCCTTCTTTTCTTTTTTTAAACCTTCTTACACATTTGTGTTCCCTGTGGGAATCACACCTCTTGGGATAAGTAAACGCTGGTACAGGAAATCTCATATTAGATTTTGGTTTACTAGTGAGTGCTGTGCTCTCGCAATAACAAAATGGTATCAAATGAGAAGGGTTCATATGATACGCGTTACTGAAACTGCTCTGTACTAACTGCTACGTGAACAAAATAATGATCTGTGACTATACTGGTGGCAGCAGGATCATAAATTAATGAGAACTCTGGGTAAAAATGGCCGTTTATAGTAATGGCTAATATTCACAAGCGATAACACATTACACCCTGCTCACGTTGTTGTTTTGACATGTTAACAAACACTCATACATGTGACACCACTTTAACGCTGTCTTGTTATTATTTGAAGGATCCCCCTACGTAAATAAGGATTGTTAAAAAAGATACAATAGTTTTGAATGAAACCGTTTTGCTTAATTGTGTATCTCTAGACTCAGTTGGTTTCTCTTGACTTGTGTGTGCGTGTAGAGCGATCCGCTGATAAACCTGAGGAGTAAAGAGCAGGAAGCCGAGCTGGTGCGTCAGACTCTGGCTGCGCTCACCGCCATGCGGATCAGGTTTCCGGGCAAAACCGAGGAGGAGGCTGAGGCTGTGCTGGATGAGGTGTGTGCACTATTTCTATTCTAGTTATGTGTGCATTAAACATAGTGTATTTTATTTATTTTGTGAATCGAAATTATTCAGATTCAGAGGCAGAAACAGACTGTGAAAAGTGGAACAATGTAGCATTAGAAAAAGACTGAAATAGAGAGAGTGAACATGGATTACAAGTGTACAAGAAATACAGACCCACTGTATTCCCAGAGCCCCCTCTGGGGCCAGGTACGATCACTCTGCAGCCTAACTAAAAGTGACCTCCTTGTCTCCCTCCACAATAGCCGGTCCGCTCTGGCTTTGCTCCCATTGTCTTTCAGACAACCCCAGTGACAACGTGTCGGTCACTTTGCTGCCCCACACTATTCCCCACTGCTCCTTTGTATTAATCAGTGCCTCCTCTATTTCTGGTCAGATCTCTGTGTCCTTCCATTTGGTGCATGTTTGTACTGTGTTTTATTGCAAAAGCTTTTGCTTAAATGTATGTTTTTGTAAGATACTACTGTACTGTACAAACAACAGAAGAATAAGCTCATATGGCTGACAGTAATATCCTCGTGTTATGGATATGTTCATCATGTACTTTTGGAAGCAGGATGTCCAAGAATTCAACAATGGCTATTAGTTAACTAGCTGCTATTAGCAGCTATAACACTTCTAAACTTACTTTTTTAGTTCATGGACTTTATTTTTAAGTACAGAAATGGATATTGCATTTTGTCAAAGCATAAAAAGTGGAAAAAAAAAAATCAAAAGGGAGACGGAGGCTAACCTTCAACTCACACCAGAAGCAACACATCAGTGGCACAAAAGTACTATGAAAGCATTCATCCGCCCAGTCCACATTGACTGTGACCTCCGTTACGGCCGTCTGTGTCCTCAGAACCAGCTGTCTGTTCAGCAACAAGGCTCCCGCGGTGCTGAAAGGACAGCAGCCGTCTTCACCAGAATGACTAATGATAGAAATACCACCAAAACAACATGTTCAATGGATATACAAAACTTCTCAGTTGGCTACATAAGAAAAAAAAAGTTGTTTATTTGAGTTTATTTATGTCACATGCAGGCCAAAAGGTCAATGGTCCCTCTATCACATGGCCACCAGCAAATTAAAATAGCTGGATGGCTACCAGCCTTGCATTCCTGCCTTGCTCTGTGTACAATGATGCGTCTAAAACAGAAAAAGCCGTTTGACTGAGAAAACGACTCTGGAGCTTCTCGGATGATGATTCACTTGATCAATGTTTAGGGGGCCCTAAAATCTTAACATGCACATTTTTGCACTCAACCATGATATCAAAAATATTCCAAATATAAATGGAATTTGGCTTTGTCATAATGCCACAAGAACTGATAACATGTCACTACATGTGTTGTAACGCAGGTAAGAGCCCCAATATTGATTTAATTATGAACATTTCTTAATAAAATTCCGGAAAGTTCAAACTTATGCATGTAGTTGATATAATTAAGGTCAAGTCTGTGCAAGCCACTAATTAAATGATGTCTGCTCATACAATGTCCCCACAAGAACAGCAAAATAAATGCGTGTGTGTGTGTGTGCCTGACATCTGGGTGTGTCTGGGTCGTGAGAGACAATTAGCACCACACCTGTACTGTTAACAAACCCTAATGAGAGCACCATGGAAACGCAGATGAGCAACTGCACCTGTATTGTTCACTTCTTGCCTCGGGAGAGAAAGGAGTGTTCACTTTGCATGAAAACAATCTTTGGCAATTTTTGTTTTCCACGTTAAAGTTAACGTCTAATTGGGCAAATGATGTGTTTCTATCCGAGTAATTGGCTCTTTTATACTTCACTCAAAACCTTTTTGTCGCAGTTGGAACCATTGAAAGGTGAAATGTATGGAGTGTGTTTTGTTGTGCTTTAATTGAGGGTAATCTGTGTAAAAAAAAAAAAAGAGTGACAAATGGTCGTACATCTTGCCATACAAGGTTCATTAGGTTTTATTGAGAGAGAATACCAAACAAGCAAACAAGTAACTTTCTGGAAAGCAAACAAAAGTGTTCAATGTACACTGTAGCTCTGTTTCTGGTTTCTGTGAATCCTCGTGGATTGTTTATTGTGTGCGTGTCTGTGTGCGAGTGTGAGTAAACATAAAGTTTACACTGGAGCCTCCCAATGGGAGCACTGTTTGCAGGGGATGTAACGTGCTACGTGAGAGGTTTATGTGCACTACTGGGGAGATGTAGACTAAGTCAACAGAGCAACAATAGCAGTGCCTGTAGGTACACAGTGATGTTGGCACTAGGAGCAAGTGCATGGGAATATCCTGCACAGCTTTTGAGCATAACGACACATGCCCCAAGGATTTATGACACACCTGCAAAACAATGGATTTTTTTCTGCTTAAGAACCAAAGATCACGACTTGACTTTTCTATTATCCCCGAGTTGTGCTATGAAAACAAAAGTCTGTTACAGACGAGCACTGTATTATCTAAATGCTCGCCACATTTTACACATCAGTTTGAAAATGACATCAATATTATTCTTTTTTACATAGCTCAGATGTCAATAGTCATGTTCTAGTAATACATCCAAACCATTCATGAGAAATGACATTGAAAATATGCTTTAAATGCCTTGTGTCATCATCGTGAAGCAGGAGATTTGACTCTGAAGACAGACTTTTGTGAGATCAAATTAACAGTCGTTTTGTAAAACTGGCTAGGAATTGGGGTGATTGCGGAACTGCTCTACCTACGCACTGATGACAAAACAACAAGACCGTGTACGGAAGTGCTGCAGTAAACAATCTCTTTTTTTAAAGTTTTAAAAAGGGGATATATTACGCTCATTTTCAGGTTCATACTGGTATTGTGGGTTTCTACTAGAACATGTTTACAAGCTTTAATATTTAAAAAAAAACAGTATTTCTCTCTTTCTGAATATACCTGTATTCAGCCTTTGTCTGAATCGCTCTGTTTCAGTGCCTGTCTCTTTAAGACCCCCTCCTGAAAAAGTTTGCATGTGACATAGGAAGAGGAGTGAGATCTGAATGGCTTATTTAATCCCATGTTTTCTGTCCTAGTCAGTCCACAAAGAAATTGAATATTGTCTTATTTCACAGTTTATGGGTTGGTAGGCACTCCAGATAACCAAATGTATGTGCACAAGCACTAAAAACGTGTTGATATAATACCGGCCCTTTAAATACTAAAATACTAATATTGAATTGCGCTCTAAATTGGAAGGTGTCTTTCTTGCCAAATATGTTGATTTTTATTGTCGTTGTTGGCAGTAATTGAATTGCACAGCACAATGACCGCCCTGTAAGAACCCCGGGTTGTGACGGAGGACTGCTGAGAAGCAGCAGATGTAATAAAATGTCAGCGAAGTAGACCTTCAGTGTTTGTTTTTGTTCAAAATGATACCTTTAAAATACTATCAGGGCGTTTTTAAATGTGTTTCCCGATTCTACTTCTTAAGGACGTCTGAACTAACACACGTTTTGTTCATGTTCAAAAGATTATTTTTCTAACTTTTTAACCCCTGACTTTTCTTCCATAGATCCTGGACAACTGGAAATACCATAAATCAAAAGTGGCCTCCTATTGGTTAGTGAAGCTGGACTCTACCAAACAACGAAAGGTGAGTCTTATGCTGGAATCAGATCACAGATATCTGAGCCAATTCACGTCTAACTTGTCCCTCCAGATTTTTACATTCTTGTAAAGTTGTAGCCTATTGGCTTGAAGGAAAGGCTGGTGGAAATGTGGCCTTAAACTGCAGAGATTAACATGTTCCCAGCCATCCAGAAAGAAAGGGAAGATCTGGTATGTGTGTTTGAGAAAGACAAAGGGCCCACCTGTGAGTGAGAAAACTTGAGTAGCTTCGGCTAGTTATTAATACTTAATTAACTTATAACAGTTAAAAACAGCTAGATTCAGAGATTATTGTCAGCGATAATGGTTCATTTTCAGATATATCTTGAAGTCTTAAAAATGGGCCAGATTTATCTTTTCACATCTGTACAAGTTTCCTGCCTGCACCCTTGCACCCCAGCCCACACTGTCACCCTGTCTACAATGGACGTTGTTAAAATCGGTGAATGTGACAAAATGTCACTGCTCCTACCTATTCCTTTGAATCCTTTTGAAAAACTTTTAAAGTACAAAAATAATTCCCAAATAAAGCTTCAGGGGGGAAAAAGAAGAAAAAAAGCCACGCATGAAGATCATTATCATGTCAGACAGTGAGAGGTAGAGACACCAAATATGATGTAAACAAAACAGAAGAGGGGACAAGACGGGAAATGCCATCCGGTAGGCGTGTCAGTAATGATGTGATCTCTCAGCCGCTGCTTTCTGCACAACTGTGCTCAGTTGTGTTGTGGGCTGTGGCGGTGCGAGCCGATGTTTTATTTGGAGTGGAGCAGCCTAATGAGCAGCAGGCAGAGGTCAGGAATGTAGCGCCCACCGCTCTGCCATCTGATTACCATACCAAAACATATCTGTGTGTGTGTGTGTGTGTGTGTTTACTCATCTATCAGTTTGTCGGCGTGTGTATGCGTGTGTCTCGCTCGCCTCATATTGGAAATCTTCCCTCTTCGCATCACACGCACACACAGTCAAGACGGGAACGTCAGTAATGAGGGGCGAGGAATCAAAGTAGAAGAGCCACAGTGCTGCACTCTGAGCGGGGTGAAAAGAGAAAGAATAGGGGAGGAAGAGAAGGCAGCGAGGTGGGAAGGGATGGGAATACGAAGAGGGGAAGATGGAAGGCTGGTGCAGGTGTCCTCAGACCGCCTGGGAACTTCTGACACCTTCTCTCCAAGACTGACGTCGGTGCAGCAATTAGTCCTCTCCCCTGCTCTCCACTGTCTGCCCCAGCAGTTTTTTCCATCTTCCTTCTACCACAGCCACACCCACACACTCACACACCCACACACACACACACACACACACACACACAGGCTGTATGCATGTGCATGCTTTACCATGAATGCAGAGATAAACCTGCTGAAACCCTCATTACCTGTGTTTCATGTTTGATTAAATTAGTTTTCAGGATGTGTTGGTGCATTTACAATATGTGTTGATGTTCTCCAGTGTGTGCATGCATCCGTCTGTGTATTCATTAAAGCGAGCTTGCTCTCTGTTACTGAGTGAATGCATTAGCCTCTGTGATTGCTAATTTTAAGGTACGGTGAAAAAAAGAGAGAAATCTTACAGTTGGAACAAATGCCAACTCACGCATAATCAATTAGAAATGCTGTCACCTTTTGTCTTGCAAGAGTAATTACCTTCATTATCACACTCTTGATTTAAGTCTCCCCCCCCCCCATCGCCCTCTCACTTTCTCTGTCACTCAGGTGTTGGACATTGTTCGTACAAATGTACGCTCGGTGCTGCAGCGGATCTGGAGGGAGCCGGATGTAGAAAGTCTCCACCTCTACCGGCTCTTTAATCGCGTCTTCAACCGGCTGCTCTGGAGTCACGGCCAGGGCCTGTGGAACTGCTTCTCCAACACCGGGTAGGCCAGTCTTTGCAAGGTTGTGAGCTGGGTTTTAGATGAGGATGGAATGGCCGGGATATGCTTGAAACTAGTCCGTAAGTGTTCAACCACCTCACAAGGGTGAAAAGCCTGCCATCATAGAATAAGTACATGCAAGAAATTTTGAATATTTTGATTGTAATTGGTGACTTAAACCGAGACCAACTAACCAAGACAAAAAAATCAAATCAAAAGAGATGTTGAAAATTTGCCCAGAGCATCACAAAGAACACCCTTGAATGAACAGAGATGTTCATGGACACTGATTCTTCTACCCCACACAAACAAGCGATCACACTGCAGGCCAATTATAACTCTATTCATTGCATAACACCACTCCATACTTATCTCCATAACTAGAAGTTCACACTCCTCGCAATCTCCCCATGTCCTTAAGCCCAGTGTTCGTCAATAGATATCATTTTCAATGACAGCAGAGACAATTTGCCATTTTTATTCAGTATGACGAGGGAAGCGACTGCAGCTGAATGACAGAGAATGAGTGACAGACCGACCAGACCCCGCTGCACTTTCCTGAAAGCTCTTGGGGATGAAAGAAACATGTTCCTCTGGGGAGGCTGGGTGCAAATTAAGGTCACATATCTGGGCTGGTAATCAGGGCTTTTTCACAGGTGAGAGCAAGGAAAGGAGAGGGGAGGAATGGAAGCAGGAAGGAGGTGAATGAAGGCCTCTCAGTTCTTTTAGTACAGTGTGTTATCAGATACTTTAAAGTTTTCATTTGGCTTCCTTTTATTTATTTATTTCTCCTACTCTTTTTGATGGCGACACTAAGTGGCTTCCTACAAGATGAGTCACTGCAGAGACAGCCAACTTGATTGTGTTCCTATAGAAACCCCAAAACAGCAGACACACAAACACACACACACACACACACACACACACACACACACACACACACACACAGAACTGTTTCTCATCGCTGGTTCACATTGGCTTTCTTAAACACACATTTTGCATCCCTCAAAGACAACAATGTTTTCCATACAATTTCACACGCATTAGCACTCCCAAACAAGTCCACACATGCAGCAAAACACACACACACACACACACACACACACACACACAGACAGACAGCTGCTGCGCCGGAAGCTTTTCATCTCGTCTGTGATGGAGGTTTGACCTTCTTGCATCTCCTCCTCTCCATATTCTTTACAGTTCAGTTGCTCAGTGGCCGTGCTTCCCTCGACACAGAGGAGTCAGAGGGTGTAACTGAAGTCTCTGCCCACGGCTCTCCCTTTTATTCCTCCCTAACTTCCTTGGCTGTCGTAATTGAGGGAGAATGAGGAAGGCAGTGAGTGGGTGATAGAGATGAAGGGGATGATAAGCAGAAGGCGAGAAGGGGGGGGGGACCTGGCGACAGAGAAAAAGGGAGAGGATTGATTGAAAATGAGACATCGCAGGAAAAAACAAACCAGGAGACAAAAGGTTGGGTGGAGGGGTAGATGACTGGGAGGATTAGCCTAGCCTAGCCTCAGCTACCCCCATGCAGCTTTTGTCTACAGCCTGTCTGGCTGATCCAGCTAGAATGCTAGCCTACCGTCTGGCCCCTCCCTACAACAGGCCACGGCCCAAACATGGATAAACCCAACAGGGGGGCTCGATGTCACGCTGCGACAGAGATGCGGGTGCACCTCGAAAAGCACACGCCAAATCACAGTGTGGCCCCCCCCCCCCCCCCTCGCTGTCTCCTGTTTGATATTGTATCTAAGGGACTTAACAACAATCAAACGGCCTCGCAGCTATTGTGGGCGATGAATTCAACAGGCTTTGAAAACGACTTAGGGAAAGAGAATGAAAAAACTCAGTTTTGAACCTTTTCAGAGGAAGCACCCCCGACCTCCTAAGGAGTGAAAGGGGGTAGACATCAAACGCACCCCCCTGGGTTGTGTGTCTCAGTTGTTGAAGCTCTCTCACAGTCAGGGGTATGTCCGGGGTTGTAAAGGGGGTTAACTGTACTCGGATCTGTTTCATCCTTCCTCCCTGTGTGTCTTCCTGCATGTCTGCCTGTACGTGTTCATGCAAATGTATATGCACACATGTACAGTAAAGGCCAAACAGTATGAAGAACATATAACCATATGAATGAGTGTGACTTAATCTGTGTGCCTGCACGATGCATACACATGCACTGTATACTTGTGCATACTGATGAATACATGGTGATGATTATCCTGACTGACTTTATTTGAGTGTGTGTGTGCGTGCCCTCTTGTTTGCGCTCCAGTTCATCATGGGAGACCATCTTCAGTAAGAGCAGCGAGGTGGTGTCCCCTCAGGAGCTGCTGTGCTGCCGCCGGCTGGTCCAGCTGTGCCGAGACTGCCTGTTGGTCGTCTACAAGTTTGTCTCAGAGTCCCGTGGCTCTTTGACCGGACTCAGCCCAGAGTGGGACGACACCAGGTGAGAAGGAAACCCAACCCTTCAATGACTTCCCCCTGAGGTCTTTGTTTTTGAAAGATTCGTAAAGCTTTACTGCTGTAATAGATAGTTTATTATACAATAGGGTGGCTGCATGAGATCGGATTCAAGAGTCTACTGGTAGGTCCCAGGTTAAAGCTGTTCCTAGTGTTCTCAGTGTAGCGAAAAAATGTCCCCTTGTGGGATTAATAAAGTAACTATCCATCTATCACTATCATTGTTCAAGATGTGGGAAGGGTGTTCATCTAAATGCCTGAAAAGTCTTCAGACCCATAAATACATTATTTTCTTATATTGTCCTAGTTTACAGATTAAACTAGTGGGTCTAAGGTCATAACGGGTTAAAAACACTAAAAGAACACAACACACTACATATCAGGGGAAGGACATCTAGCGCACCAGGATATTGGACCTGCGTTAAGATTAACAGGAGACGTCCTTGGTGATGGGAATATTTATTTAGATGTCTTCCTCCGATTGATATTCAGGTCCAGATAGAAACTGGTTACACATGAGTTTGTGAAAGCAGATGCCTAGCTATTAACTTTGTTAAAAGTACCTTTAGAAAGTTCTGGAAAATAAATAAATGAACACACTTTGACACACAGTGAAGAAATCTTTGATTTGATTTAAACCTCTCTTAGGGAACATTTCCCCTCCCTCCTCCACGGAGACTTGGAGCCATCATCTTTATCAAATAACCCCAATTAAACAAACAAAACAAAAAAATCAGCCTCATTCTATTTTTAAGGTTGATCCCCGCAGGAGACAGCAGCTCAGGTTTGGAGTGAGGGAATTTTTAAAGCACATATGCTTTGGGCTGGCAGACAGTGAGGGAGGGGGCTGGAGAGAGGGAGAGAGGGAGTGTGCTGTTAACAGGAAATAATGGCCCACAGATTAGCGCTCAGGTTAGCCCGGGGCCCCCCGAGGCCTGCTTAATTCAATTAGAGCCCAGATGAGCCTGTGCAGCAAATGACCTTACGAGAGAGGGAGAGAGAGCTCTTTTTTTTTCCTGGGGCCTCGCTTTACATGATTCATAACTCTTGCGCATATTTTAACAGGCTATCACTTTGTGCCTCCAGTATAAAAACCTCTGCTGTTAAAAGAAAAAAAGCGTGTGGGGCTTGTGTACAGTTGTTAGCCACTTATGTCTTGACTAATCTGACATTGTTGCTATTGATTGTTTTAAGCATATTTATTTTGAGGGTGGATTAAGGAATATAAATTAGTGGACTATGAAGATTTTAAGATAAGACTGTAATTGGATTTAATAAGTCAAGCATACACAAAATGACACATTGGTGTACCCATATGTATGTAGGTGTCCTTGAGAGTCCATGTAAGCATGCATTGGTCTGTCTCTCCTTATTTCTTCTGTCTATACATGTCTGTGTAAAAAAGCTTACCATTTGCTGCTGGACCAGCCTCTACCCATGGCTCCACCCCTGCTGCTGTCGCTGCCACTTCCTCTTCCTCTTCCTCCGTCTCTTCGCCCCTCGACGCAGGTCTTTGCTTGGTTTAGTTCTGCTAAACCCCCCCACCCCCTCCCCCCACCATCTACCAGCACCGCCCCCGTTCCCTGCTGCTCCCCACCACCTCACCGCTGTAACAAAGGCTTGGCCCCACCTGCCCCGATGATGGCTGTTTTAGCTGCACAACCAACAGTCTAGCATGGTCTCCTCTCCTTTCACTCGACACTATTTGGATTGACTTGAGAATCGGATGCGTTTCATATGATCTGATGCCCAAAAATAAAAGACAATATATCTGAATGGAAGGAGGAGATAGGAGAAGAAAGCATATTAGGACTGTTGAGAGCACTGTTTGTCCGCGCCGCAACCATTCGGCCAGCTTGCTGTACATCACCAGCCAATCATCCTGCTGCCACATGCTTAACTATAACTTTCACTTGACGCGTTTATCAAGAGCATCTCACACTGAGTGCATTTTTAGTACAAGTGGCCTCGGTGGGAGCTGAGCGCCTCACCTACACCGCATCAGTGCCATGATCAGCCCAAGCACCGCTCTTTTTCTTGTCACAACAAGACAGAAAATGGCTCGGCTTGCATCGTGTGGTTTGCAGTTTCACAACACACACGGGTTCACATCTCTCCATCAGGCATGCCACTTCAGACAGAAGAGAAGCAATTAGGATTATTTTCTCATTGATGCATACGCTTTCTATGAGAGGGTAAATTGTGTGTGCGCGTGTGTGTGTGAGCGTGTTCATGCACATGTCATGTGATTGTTACGGAGTGATTTTCGGTCCCTCTTCAATGTTTTACACCGACACTAACCTCAAACTATTTATGTCGAGCTGTGTCCACATCCAACTGACACAAACATTTAAAGGATACATTATGTTTAGAGATACATAGATTGCTATTTTTTATGCCATTTCAGTTTTTTAAAAAGATTTTGCAGATTCAGATTTTCTTTCTAAGAACTATAATTGACAGCTAGACTTCCTTTTTTTCACCAATGCCGTAAAGTCAGTGCAAACCGTCAAAAATCCTAAATGTTACCCTTTAACTTACACTTATTTGCATAAAAACACACAATTCAAACGATTAGGAAATAAATGATTTCATTTTAATTTAAATACTTGCTTTGATTAAAATAAATCTTTGCACCAGTAGTTTTACTTATATTTTATAAGATGCTTTGAGCTATTGTTAGTAAATTAAACAGATCATAATTCCATCTCTGATATTAATTTTATATTTCTGTAATAACATCTCCTTCAAACAACTGTATTTATTAAAGTTTCTAGCCAAAAACTACATTTTACAAGAATACAATCGAACACATCATGATTGCATTATAATTTACCTCGTCTCAATACCAATTATACTGAGTAGAGCGTGAACATACCATGATGCAAGTCAGTGCAGCCGCCGTTAAAGTTAGCTGTTCGCTCTATAATAAGCCTGTGCTAGGGAGAGACTTATTTTGGACTTGCAGTTGTGATAAATCGTGAACTTCAGGTCTCCTTCACTCACCGAAAACATGTTGGCCGTGGCCGGTTACTGTGTATCTTGCGGCAGCCGCGCGCAAGTGTAAATATGATCGGCAACAAATTTGAAATATGAAACTGACCGGCCAGCCAGCGGTCATGTGAACCGGTCGTTCAGCTGAACAGAGTCTGGTTTCGATCGGCAGCTAATCAATCAGTGCATCTCTAATTCTATTTGAAACAATACTCTCACGCCCATATGCACTGTGCATGGAAAGAGGATTGTGCATTTCCTCTCACATGTCTCACATTGGAATGTAATGTAAACTTGCAAATAAATTATTTAATAATAAAACAATAATTTGGTTTATTTTATCCGGTCAACATCACAACTCCACTGAACTAAACTGAATCGAGAAATTGTGGGTAAATGACACCTGGATACTATGTATGACATTTCTCAAAGACTCAAGTTGACAGATATTTTACGGGTTCCAGTTCAATATGTACACAAAAAAAATGCTCTTCTAGAAGAACAGTTTGGCAAACCTCCACATTCTAACCTCCACATATTAGAATCAAACACCATACATTCAGGCAAATTCGCACTGACAAACTCAATATCCACTTGGTCTCTTGTGCATGCACACGCACATACATGACATACACTCACAGAGCTCTCAGCAGGCTTTGGCACACGTCAAAGTAGGTCTGTAGGCTGGGGTCTTTGGGGTCTCCATTGTTGACCACACCTGCCCGCTCTTGTTCAAGCCTCCTTCCTCTGTTGAGTGCCCTGATCAGGTATGTCAACAGCCCCATTGGTCTAAGCAAAGTCCTTCAGTCTGTGTGGGCAGATGAGAGGAAGTAGCCAAATAGCTCCACTAATGACTTTCTTGTTAAGCCTGAAATTACTGTCACTACCCAAAGACAATTTCCCCGTAATGACAAAAGTTTCAGATTCTATTAACTTTCATCTGTCTGAAAAGTGTGGCAGTAATTAGGGTTAATTGGGGTGTTGAGCTGAATGTGGGCTGCAGATAACCTTCAAGGCTCTTTGTACCTCTTGGTTTATGATTGCGTCAGCTATCGCGGCAGTCTTTCCCTCCATCCTTAGTCGTGGCATTTTGTTTTTCTCTGGCCTCCTCTTAATTCGCTGTGGCAGTTGCATCTCGATTGAGGACTAAAGAGTAGCGTGGAAGGCCCGTCGGGAGGAACACCGGTAGATTGTAGCTCTGCATGTCAGGAGCGGCGCAGGAGAGTATCTTTCCGTCTCCAACTGACGGATTGAAGCAAAGCACAAGTGCATGAACAAGCCTCCCCCCCTGGCTTTCAAGCATGCACATTGTTAAGACCTTCTTCATGATCAAAAGGAGGACGAACCTGGAAGATACCAAATGTGAATCCAATTAAATATAGCCTGCAGAGACAGCGGCCGCTTGGACATGAGAAGCCCTCCTACCCCACCCCTTACCACTACCAGCACCGTGATGCTGTCTATAAGCAGAATATTCTCAAAGTGAATACCAGAGGATCTCTGAAGAACACACACTCGGGTCCCCAATGGATGTTCAATATTTGATTTTCTTTCTTTTTTTTTTTACTGTCATTTCCATGCCTGGGCTCGGGGTTTTCAGCCAAAGCCTTATGGAAATGAAGGGGAGAACCCTCCACCTACCCCTCCCCAATCCATGAACAGAATCCCAATGGAGGAATACGGGGAATCACATAGGCAGGCGATGGAATAAGGTGCCGAGCAGGGGGAAGAGACACATAACAAATGTAGAAAGAAATGAAAACAAGGGCGACGCAAAATCATGGTATGGAATCACTAAATGTCACCTTGAAGACTGCACTTAGAAGTGAAAACACATCCTGCCCACCTGTTCTCTTGGGTTTGAGTGGAGGAGTTTAAGAAGTGCCGGACTGAGCCCTTGTTCACCAAGTCCAGTCAGAGAGAAGAGGACGTGCTGGAGGGATACCCACGGCCCACTTGAAGCTGCTTCAAGGACACTCTCGTTGGACTAAATGAAGTTAATTTGGATCTGTTCTAACTCTCCTGAGTCTACTGTGTTGAAGCGGGCGCCCTTAGCGACATGTGCTTTTTTTTTTTTCTCTTTCCGGTCGACTTTAAAAGAAACTGCTCGGCTAATTTGTCCAAGAGCTATTTCACAAGGAGAGAGAGAGAGCTGTCAGAAGGAAAAAGTATGCTATCTCTGCACCAGCTTAAAGGAAGATATCATTTCTTCACTCTGATCCTCCGCCCCACTGGCTCCCTTTTGATTAGATTGTCACATCTTAAACACTTCCACGGGGACTATTTCTTTTGCCCATTGTACTCTTTCAACTAAACGATTATCAGATGTATTTTTTATGAGCTAAAGATCCTTGCTGCGGAAGTGGCAAAAAAGGTCACATAATGTTTAACATCACAATATGACAAGTAGTGCTGCAAAAGCCCATACACGCAAGTCATTCTGCCAACTGATCAGTCTGGAAGAATTCAAACTTCCCCTGTCTCATGTCTTCTGAACAGTACCGCAAACATTTGCTCATCTCATCTGACATTGCTCTGACAACCATATCTGACTCATTTCCAGTAGCTAAAGGAAGATGGGAGCAGGGTTCAGCCCCTCCTTACTCTCTCTCAACCTGACGCTGGTCTCATTCTCAGGTACTGGAACGCTGTTAGCAGGAGCTGCCTCACTGCTCTGTCTCGGTGGAAGGTGTCATAGAAAAGTCTTAGAAAGGTACTGACGCCTATGCCTCGGAATCATAGGTGAGGATTTTCTGTTCATGATACCAAAAATGTAAGAAAAAGGTCAAAGTTGAAAAATTCAGTTGTCCTGAAAGCATCTGCTTCTGTCAGTATGAGGTCAATCATTCATTTGTCTACGCGTACATAAATACTGCATATAATCCTAATTAAACAGAACGCTAACTGAGAGTTTAGATTTGGTACATTTCATAAAATTACAGCTGGAATGATTCATCGATTAACTCAATCAAATTAATCGTCAACTATTTTGATAATTGACTAATGAAAATAGTTGATATTAATCCCTGATAATAAAGCAAAACAATTGCTGTTTACACATTTTAAATATGAGAATGTGATGCTTTTCTTTGCCATCCATGAAAGTAAAATGAATATATTTGGGTTTTGGACTGTTGGTCAGACCAAAACAGGACATCTCATCCCCTTGGTGTGTTGGGAATCATAACCATCATTTTGAATTATTTTCTGGCATTTTATAGACAAACTGCTCAGTTGATTAACTCATATGGATCTCACAATCTTTTTTTCTCGTTGTCAAGGGGAGGGTGATGTCACGATATCTTGAAATCACCAAGCTATTATTAGAGTTGAAATGTGCAAATGGCGATGGCCGTAAAATGGTAGAATGGTAGAAATATATGAAGAGTGTGATCTCAGTGCCGAGCACTGACGCGCCCTAACCTCTAAATTGTGACCTATGCATATCTAATCCTCTCATTATGTTCATCCTTTCCCTTAATCCCTTCGTCCCTCGCTCGTGTCCGTCTGTCCAGGTATCTGCTGCCAGTGACCTCCCAGTTCATCATGAAGTGGCCTTCGTCCAGCTTTGGCCGCCTCTCTTCGACAGTGCCACGGTCACGCAGCCTTTTCGCCGCCAGGATGGGCCACTTCTGAGGTCACCGCAGCAGCCCTGGCTCCCTACACCTTTTGACCTCAACCTCCCCACCCCTCTGACTCTCACCCAGCCAAACGCCGATCTCAGCAAGTCCGGCACAGATCTGAAGTCGAGGCAGCTCTGGAAACCAGCCGGAGCCTCAACCTGAGCCAATTCCCCCTTGTGGCAGACCAACAAAGAAGGGCCAGATGATTATGAATTGCTAAAGGGCCTCGTTCAATTTAGACCAGTCTGGACCGGCCTAGACCAGCAGACCACCGGTACCCTCAAGCCCCACTTTCAGCCCCATGTAACACCAGACAATGGGTTTACCCCCCTCTTCTCATTGTAATTGCTGTATTATACCTACTCACTGTACAGTTACAAGTCATGGTACTGTAAAAGGAAAAAATAACAAATACTAAACAATGCAAGGATTATTTATTTATTTACTTACTTATTTTGTAAGGTATTCCATGAATGCAGTGAATGCTGATGCAGAATGCGGATATGGAATGATCAACAAAGCTATCCCTTGTGTAAAAAAAACAGAAATCTTATTTTTTCTGGCTGTAATCAGTTATTTTATGTCTGAATTTAATTTATTTCATAACTTATATGAGAGGCTTTATGTTTTGTCAATGCTTCCACGGTCACTTTATGTTCCAGTTTTGCCCAGAGAATTTAAACTGTTTTTTGAATTAGCAAACTTCTGAACGCTAATGCTTCATGTTTTACCTGTGTTATATCGAGTGCAGCATTATTAAGCAACACAACGTTTAGAATCTCAATGTAGTAAAGCCACGCCTCTTTGCCTCTTAGAGAATGAGCTAACTTTGACGCCACAGCGCAAAGAGCCAAACTTAAGTCTTTAGGAGAGCACCCAGTCCCTAATATGCACTTTGCAGTATGTCACAGAAAGAGAAAGTGGGTGCACATAACTAGTGTTTGCATGCCTAGAGTTTTAGTCCCTCACCCAGATGAGGAGGAGCTGCGTTTGGAATATACTTGAAGTTTTGTGTTTGTTTTTTTTTGTCATTAATTATTGTGTCTTTGTAGCGGCTTCACTAAGAAGGAGACACTTCAGATTGTGTGGCACGGTGAATGACTTGGATCAGCAGCTCAAATGTTCTGTACCGTGACGGCGGCGATTTTTCTGGGACGAGCAGCTGCAGCCTTTTCTCCCACCGCACTGTAGGAGCAGTCGCCTCGGAGATCATGGATGTGCCAATAATAAGCACACGAACTTCATGTGTTCAGTTGGGTTTTATTTAGGGTATGTCATGAAAACACTGTAGGACCTCAGTTAGATATAGTATTAAATGTTGAGAGGGAGAAACGCAGCGTTATATGTTTAGTAGTTTTCTTGGCTCTGTTCTACCCAATGAAATGACACGAGACTTTTAAAGATGGTAGTCTGTGAGCGATACAGTACAGTGTGCATTTTATAACATCAACCCTGACTAACAAGTGTTGCAGCAATGCTGTGCTAAATCTGCTCACATTTAATTCCCACACACTGAACATCACTGCACAATGCCAAATATTTTTTTTTATTTTGCCTGATTTTATTTGTGTTATTTAAAAGTAGTACTTTTTCATTGGAGGTATGAGATTTTTAATTTTACATAGCAATAAAATGTTTAAACAAACGCATTTCCTCTTTTTGTCATTTGTTTTCTTCAGCGGTCCCCAACGTCTTCTTTACATTTTAAGATTGCAGACGACTTTCAATGTTTGTTTCTTTTATTTATCCTCTACACACAAACATTAAACTTACCTTTTATTGTCGGACCATGCTTATTAAAAAAGGTCATATTCATAACATATTTATGAAGAATACTCTTTAAAGAATAATACATCCACAGAGTTTTTAGAAAAGGTGCCGAATAAAAGATATTGCTTTTCCTAAAAACAATGATTATGATTGTGAATTAATTTTTAAAAAATTGAAGGAATCCTAAATGAATGCTTTAATCTCTGTGGAAGATATCTGCTGTTTGTTTGCCGCATCGAACAAGACTTGAGAGCCAAAAGTACAACAACGTTGGTATCGTTGTATCTGTGTCCTCAGTCAAGTTGCCAGTTCATGCGGGATATAAGGGATAAATTGATAAATGAGTTTGACGGCAAGCCCCCCGGCTTCACTCGGGTTACTTTACCAATCCCAAGTGCTCAGCACCAGAAGGAGGCTGCCTCCGCCGTGCCTGGCCTCACTAGTGTCTGACTGCTCTCCATCTGGCTGCAGAATACATGACTACTGTGGCAACAAGTGACAAATGATTCATCACTTGACATGGCTGTCTGTCTGAGTCTCACTCCACTCGACTATCAAATATAGATTGTGCAACAAACATCGTTCTTCGATTTATCTCATTTATTGAGTAACTGCAGAACATGGGGTGAACCCAACACACAACATTGGTACTCTCTCTCTTCAAGTCTGTTTACTTCCTGAATGGCCACCAATCCTGTCAAAACCCAGACACACATCACAGCTGGTCTATAAGTAAAGATGCAAACTCCTATATAAATTCTGGACAGAACCGGTAACCACTTGTTGTCAAGCGGTTGGGGAGGGGGGAACCAGACGGTGGACACTACACTTCCGCATCGACACTGTGCGGTGGGATGGCGGTATCAGCTGTAACCGCCGCATGAGAGCAGTGCAGAGTGGCAGCCGTGAGATAAGCAGCGGGGCATGCTACGTGCACTAACATGCACTAAAAGTCACATGCGGCCGGCCAGGCTATGTCAATAAAATTTGATTGCAACACACATACTGCTCAGGTAGAGGTTACTCAACCATCTCTTTACATTTTTGCCTGCAATGGAATGCAGATTGTGTGGACACAGACAGGACAGAGAGGAAGGCTCTGGCTGCGGTATGTTGAGATTATATCAAAGCTAAAGGGCCTTGTTTGGCCCGACGGCGAAACGGAGGCCATGTGAAAGTTATAGACGCATTCCAATTGTTTAAATAAATGATAATGGTCACGATAAAAGTGTATTTCTGCTGCATTCAAATGTTACAATTCTGCAAGTAAGCATGTTGATGGGGCAACTTCAATAATCTTCAGTGTTATTTTTTTTCAACAACTAATTGGCTGAGACAGTATCAATAGAAGTCTGCGCTGTGAAGCAAATACTGGGGGAAAATCAATCAAGCAGAACCAATCAGAAACATTGAATTTAAGTGCCGTCGATCTCTGATGGATTTGGAACTTCCTGTCCACCTGATATCCGTTACTCCAGCGGCTCTCTGGCTATCTGGGTCAGCCTCTGAATGATATCACATTTCACACAATTTGTGGACGGGTGACACTCCTGAACTGTCACTCGCCTCCGAAATGAGTGTGTGTACCCAGCAAGCCCTTTCCTTGTACCATCTTGACCCCGAAAGCCACCCTGCACGGATGATCGTTTGTGCGCAAACGGCTACCCTCAAGAAGAACAAAGTCAGTTTTTATTTAGACCTGTAAAAGCAGCATGGCCTCCAGGTTCTTGTGACCTTTCCACCCCTCCATCCCTCGCTCATTCCCTCTTTCTGTCAGCAGAAAAGGTGCAGGGCCGTAACCTTGAGGCTGTCCTGCCTCCGCCTTGGCCGCGGCCCCTGCAACCAGACTGGAGCAGAGGCTGACAGTCTGGCGCTGTGACCCCTGCGTGCTGTCCAAAAATATCTCCCCCAGCAACAGAGCTGCGCCGTACTGTCCTGACCTTTCCACTCGTCAATCTCCGGGGCCCCAACCCATCAATTTCTGCCTCCCTCTCTCCCCTACCTGAGCGTGGTCCAGGCAGCTTTGCAGCCAGAGTCCAGCCTTTTCTTTTCGCAACACCCAGATGACCCAGTTTCAGGGCCCTGAGCCGACCTCTCCGGCTTTGAGAGTAAAAAAGCGACTGGGAGCTGTGAGAGAGGTGGATGGTTCAGATGAGATAAGCACACGCACACACACACACACACACACACACACACACACACACACACACACACGCTCTCGCAGCAAACACAGATGGCCGAGCTTAAAAAAAAAAAAACAGCTTTTTTTGTGCTCTTAATCCACTATTTCAAATGACATGGAGGGAAAAGAGCAGTGCGATTTGTTCTGTAATTATGACTGGCTGAGTGAGGTGTCCAGAGGCTCGGCTGCCCTCCTTTCTCTTTCTAGTGAAGCTTTAAAAGTGCAGCCTGTAGTGGTTTGTGTGCTTTCAAAAGTGACCTTTCTTATCAGACAAATATTGCCCGTGTACAGCCTGTGTATGAAACTGTGTGTGTGTAGGATTATGTATTTCTTCTACCCACTCAGTGAGTAATGTACTGTGCTATATACTATGTGCGTGTGTGTGGACGCATGTTCACATATGTTAACTGCTGTGTATTATTAGTATTGCAGGCCTCACACCTGCCTCTGTGTCCTGGTATTTGTGTGTTTAACGTGTATTCTCAAAGGGGCGCGTTCAATGACACCCGCTGCCATACATTATCTGTCGGGCCTCGTTTACAACATCTTTGCTCTCAGCAGGGGTCCTGCCTGTATCCGACACATAAACCAACAGATAAACACATGCACACTGAGGAGCCTGGATGCTCTTCACTCAGCTCGCTCCAGTGGCTCAGGTTATTTACCCCACACACACACACACACACACACACACACACACACACACACACACAC